CCCAGAAATTTCAAGACCTGGAGGAAGAGAGGCTCGATTTCACCAAAAGCAGTCTTTGGACATACGCAAACATTGCTTCTACAGTTTGCGTCAGTGATGATGCTGTAAGTTATAAGTTTTCTCTGGACTGCTGCGGGTACTCAGCTCAGCGACTAATGCATAAGCAGTCGTGCGAGAAAATCCGTCTTTCTTTAGAAGATTGTGAGGTGGAGAAAGACATAATCAACTTTATCAAAGAAAGAGGAACTGGGCAGGACATACCAGATCCACCAAGATTTATCAATTTCTGCCGGGGTGGAATCGATGACACTAGCTCCGAAGCATCAGAGGAAGAAGGCTACTCAGTAGCCCAGTTCCAACGCACGATCAACCCAGCCTACCGCAGTTCATCCCCGCAGCCTTCAGCCTATGACGCCAGTATGGATCCGGATGCTGAGATCGCAGCCATGATTAATAGGCCTCCGACTCCTACCAGCAGGGAAGCTACCATCACTCCACAGAAGCCAGCACCGCAGGCCAGACAGCAACCACCTATGCAACAGCCAGTGCAGCAGCCCATCCAGCCGCCAATCCAGCAGCCCATCCAGCAGCCCATCCAGCGGCCCATCCAGCAGCCCATCCAGCAGCCCATCCAACAGCCGCTGCCGGCGCAGCCGGTGCAGCCAATGCAGCCTCCACCTATGCAACAACCGGCTCCGTTGGATCTTCGGCGTGGTGGGTACTTACCGCCCAATTATGATCCTAATGAGCATGGCGAGATCGGCACTGTACCTCATAACGCCTATCCTACGGATGGCATGACGATGTTCTGCCGGACGGGGCCTCCCTCCGAACGCAGCTCAGGGACAAACAGCGCATATAGACCGTCGAGTCGTGACTCTCAGAGTGAGGTGTCAAATCCGACTTCAATGTCAAGCCAAGAACCTTCAAGCGCAAGACAATCTCCGACCAAACCGATCAATGGCGTCGCACTTCCTGGCATGGATAAGCAGGTTCAAAAGAAGCGAAGCGCGTTCTTCAGCAATAGTCCTTTCCGTCGCAAGAGTCGGCACGATAAAGATCGCCATTCGGGCCCAGCTCAGGCTCCCTCTCGCAGTTCATACGAGCCTCCAGCAAAGCAGGCAAGCCCGATCAAAGCTCCTCAGCCTCAACAACCTATATCCATCCCAGACTCGGGCAGGGTGTCTGGTAGCCCCGAGCCCGTTGATCCGAGAGCTAATTTCCAGCTCAATGTGGGCAACAACGTGTTCGATGTGGAGTCTCCAGACAAGGATGCTAAGAAGACAGTACAGGCGAGCAAGAAACCAGAGGAGGAGCAAGACCCTGTTGCCCGAGCCTTAGCAGATTTGAAAGGCGCAGGAAAGCAGTCAGCGACTCGAGTCTCAGCCGATAGATATCACGGTATCGCTACGCCAGTTCCGCCGCCGGTCGCAGCACCAACGGCCACCCCCGGCTCTGTCGCAACACCTCCTCCAGCTTATACTGATTCTTCATTGAAGCGTCTAGATGCACCGCAGCCCGCTTTTACTGCAGCCCAGATGCAAAAGACAACTCAGAGGTATACTGGACAGACCCAGAGTATGCTTAGAGGCACGAGCCAGGCTCCGAGGCGTAACAGTGGTCAAACACAGGACGCTCCCCGTGCTAAATCTCCGGCGCCCAGGCGAAGCGCCAGCCCTCAGGTCAATCCTCCCCGCGTGGATACGCGCATGGGCCAGTATAGTCGAGCAGCAAGCCCGAGCCCGAGCTCGTACCAGTCAAATAGCATGAAGAACCGATATGCGCAGTCTCCCACCGTTTCCACACCTCCTCAACGCCCTGTTGATGCTACACCCCGCTCCAGGCGCGGCTCTGTGGCCACAAGTATGCCGCGAGCAGTGTCTCCCCAGCCTCAGTATCGTCAGTCTCCCACGGCGGCCGCTTCGCGAGCTGTTTCACCTCAGCCACAGTTTCGACAACCCCCACGGGCTGTGTCACCTCAGCCTCAGTTCAGACAGCAGGCTCGTCCTTCCAGTGCTGGAGGTATGGAACTACAACTGTCCAGCCCCTCTGACATGTACGGCGGCAGCAATGATGGCTATGCGTCCCGGCGCGACAGCGGCAGACCCATGTCATATTATGGTGACAACGCCAGCGTACGCAGCCGGTCGAGAAGTAGGTCAATGGCTGTCGCCGACCCTGGCAGACAGTTCAGTCGTGATGGTAGACCAATCTTACATTTCGGTAAGTTCTGACTCCTCCTTTTCCGCTGCCCCTTTGACGAGGCGCCCTCCTAACACTCGTTTCTATAGCTCGAGCAATGTACAGTTACACGGCCGCTATCCCTGAGGAACTAGGCTTCAGCAAAGGCGACGTGCTTTCTGTCATCCGGCTGCAAGATGATGGCTGGTGGGAAGCCGAAATCACAACCACTCGAAGCCGAACCGGATTGGTGCCGAGCAACTATCTACAGATCATCTAGTATCAGCAATCTTCTGGATTTATGCAATGACCCATACCCCTGTTATTTCATGAACATTTCAATACACCTACAAGCCGACAGTGACCTTTATCCTAATTGACGCGTTCATGATATTGATACCAGATTGTGCCTAATTTCTTTTTATTTCCTTCTGGTTCTACTTCTTCCAGCACATTTGCCGCCCAAGCCATGTAATCACTCTTTTACCTACTTTTGCTACCCCTCGACTATTACTGTCCTTTGCAAGCCCTGTCGTTTGGAAGTCGGTCCTTATGAGTTCGCGATACCTCTTTGTCAGATTAATATGACGATTGTCCTTCTTTTCCTTATGGTTTGGGGCTCGGTTGAATAATGTTGTTATCCCAAATATGAAATTGTCTGAATCTAGGATTGAGCGCGGAAGCTTTCCGCAAGCTACGAAGTTCAGTACATATTCTCCCGTGTCCCTACCTCATAGATCCTAGGCCGGGGTCTTCTACCTGCACAATCATTCCCGGTGTACGCAGGTGAACCCGTAACCACGATGCGTCAAGAACTGGTCATCGGGGTAATAAAGATGAGAAACCAGGATGTGACGGGCAAGGGAAAAGGCCGAAGTTTGATTTTCCTGCCTACCCAGGAAAGTATTGAGGAGTGAAATCACTGACAAGATGAACGTATGGAACAAACATATACAGCATACACATGTAAAACTGGAAAGCTAAGGTTTATGCGCGCTGGAACGTAGTCATGTATTATGCTCTCGACCCGACACTGTACAAGGAACGAGCTTTACTCCATCTGAAGCCACCCAAGAGATGAATGAATAGAGCTGAGAGGGAAATGCAGGCCCGACACCCGACTTCCCATCCAGCGGGCATTGAATGGACAACCTCTTGAAGGGTTCGCCACAAACTAAGATTAGGTTTGGTATCATCATTCGTCATCGACAAAGGAGTTCGCCAGGCGGCCAAAGATAGGGACCTCAAAGTGATCGAGCGTATCAACTGTGGGGGGGTGACCGATGTCAGCGCGTGTGATAACCGCAAAACCCGGTCGACAAGAGAGAGAGGAGGGGGAAGGGGGGGCAGCCCTACCGTCGCGATAAGCACGCATGCTCAAGAAACCGATCATCGCAAGATCGCCGACGAACAACAGCCAGGATAGGAAGCTTGATCCGGAGCAGATAAGGTGAATTATCTGGGAAATTGGTGAGCCCATGGCCTCGTTTGGCTGGAGTGCCGATTTGCAGCCAACAACAACGACAAGGAAAAACTTACAAACATGGCGGTGAAGAGCATGCTCGATTGCCATGCATGGAACCTATATCCTAGTTAGCAGGAGGACTAAGACGCTGAAGTATAAGGTCGGCTGGATTTTGGCCGTGGTTGGCACATACCGTACGTAGTCGCTCTTGTGCTCCACCAACAGGAGAAAAACACCACCGGCGGGAGGCAGAAGCAGATATGCCAGCATTGCTTCGACGTCCATGCGGATGGGGAGACTGGTGTCGAAGGCGCCGAGGCTCAACCGACCGCCCTCGAGGTCGTTTCCGAAGCCAGTGTTTCCATGGCCGCTGGCGTTGTTGACGTTGCCTGTACCAGCACCAGCACCACCGGCAAAGTGACTCGGGGATGGCAGGCCGGGGGATGCAAGACCAGGGGCTGGAGAGCCGCGCGGGGACTGGATTTTGGAGGGTCTTGTACGGTGCGCCTCGCCCAGCGAGGGGGAGAATGCACGTTCCACCTCTGGCGATTCGTCCTGGTACGGGGCAAAATTCATGGTGTTGAGAAGGATGGGTCCATAGTCAAGTTGCAATCCAGGCAACGTCGCGCAAGCTTATCGGGGCGATGGAAGCTTTATCGCAGTAGATCTCACATTAACTTGGTATGGGCGGTGATGTGGTTTGGTGCCTTAGGCAACCTTATCCGTCCCCCCCCGCGACATCTTTTGTTTACATCATGTGGATATGTGCTACGGAGAAAGTGCATTTGGTAATTGGATTTGCGAAAGTTGTCTTCTCATGAGGGGTATCATCATAATCACAGTATCTTAGTGCCTCTTTCATTGGTCTCATACTATACATTTCTCATCCGCAATCGTCATGCCATATTTACCATTTTTAGGCCCGGCCGCGACCACGCGCAATCCCCGAGCCCCTCGCAATCCCACTGGCCGGTCTACGTGTCGTACTAGTCATAGGCGGTCTCCCCGTTGTGGTTGAAGACGCCGTGGTCCGTGTGGCACCAGGTCGTGTGCCCGAGTATGAGATGCCAGGAGTTCTTCCCAAGCCACCGCGCACTCTTCCATAACTCGACCCGCGGGTGCCTCTGGCGCTGGCAGCGGCGGCTCTCTTTCTCTCGTCTTCCGCAGCCTTGCGGGCAGCAGCTTCTCGCTGTTGTTGAAGCTCTCGTTCGCGTCTCTCGGCAGCCTGCTGTCGGAGAAGTTCCTCGTGTTCCGAGTCGGCCACATCTTGAACTGCGCCTTGCCAGTTCGGGTTGAGAATCAAACGCTGATTGTGCTCGGTTTGGGAGAGAATCCGAGTCCAGGTATTCAGGAGGGTAGAAGCAGAATCGAGCGTTCGTGAAGCAGTCTACAATGAGTCCACAATTAACGACTATAGGTCTAAACAATGACGCAGTAACACCACACTCACATCCATGTTCCCTTTGGCACGGTCAAGGCTCCCGAGGAGACCCTCAATGACCTGATTGATCTTACGAACGCTCTCTAGCTCACTGCGCAAAGCGGCTTCGCGCGCCTCTTGGCGGTCAAACATTGTCTCTCCATCATCATGGGGAGGGATTTTTGTTGGTTCGGGTGACAAGCTCTCCTCCTTGACCACTTTGGAGGCATGCCGATTGTTTCCACGCTTGGAAGGCGAGCTCCAGAGATCATCAGATTCGTCGTCAGATAATTGCAGATTCAAATCATTTGCTGTGCTGCGAAATGCCATGATTTTTTGTTGAGAAGGAGGGGGAGGGGCAGGGGGAGGGGGAGGGGGAAATGGGCGGAGGGGAAGTGGGAGTTGCAGAGAGGGGCGGATCGATAAAGGATAAACTCGAGTTGATTAAGTCTGTAGCGCGTAGCTCAGTGAGAGACCAATGGATAGATGACAAGCCGCGGATCGTCGGAGAGTAATCGTGGGGCGTGTTCAGCCACTGATCATAGACTAGGGTATTTGCTGAAGCCTCGATCGAAGGTTGTCGAGTCAAACGGGAGTTGGGTTGGTGTGGCTGGGAAGGAAACAAGAGCATTCCACAACCACGGGCGTTGCTCCGCCCTTTCAAGTTCGCGCCCAAACCCGCCTGCCCACCGGCATTTCCCCCCTCCAACCAGCCAACCAAGTTCTCTTCCCTTTACCAACTTCCATCCTTTCTTCATTCAATTCAATCACTAACTTTGCTACCACCACCACCACAATCACCACTGAATTACCCAACTATCACATCCACGATCACCACCACTCCGACTATCACGTCTATTCTCCATTCTTTCGCTCCCATCCGATCCTATCTGTCCACTTTTGACCGGCTTGGTTACTCGCGTTGGAGAAGCAGTCGGCTTCCCGGTCGTCGCGTTTTCCTCCCTTTGTCTCCCTTGGATTGCTTGCACCACGGCTTGGAACGGACCTTGCACAACACCCATCATTTGCGACTCTCTTGGAATCGATTAAGTCACGATTCAGCGATCGTTCTCTGTTGGCTTGGAGCTGGGATTGTTTGAGGATATATATCGTCACCTAGGATACACGTATCTCACACAGAATGGCGACAACACCACCGCCGCCTTCCACGCTACGGATTCCTCCCACCCCCCGACATGGTGCCAAATATGATCAATATGAGCCCTATTCTACGCGTTTTTCGTCCAGACTAGCCAGTCAACGTGCTTCCAGAGAGTCTCAGGCCACGCCGCCGCCTAGTTTTCCGCCTGCGCGCGCAAGCTCAAAGCTTCCGAAGAAGCAAAACGCCCGGGAATCAGCAACATTGTCACCACCAGGCTCTATCCAAAGTTCTCCTCGGAAGCAAAAATCGGGCCGGCTCACTGGAACACATTCACTACCACACTCCACTCTGGACGACTCCGACCCTTTCAACACCGAGCCTTCCCACACTCGTCCCCCACAATTTCTCCGACCCACACTCACTGAAGGGATGCTTCCCACACCAGCAAAAACGCCACGGAAGAAGGCAGTCGCAGATGTTGGGAATACCGCCAGAGTTCTCTTTCCTCCGCCTCCCAGCTCCAGCTCACGGAAGAAGCCCAAGAAACATACTGGGTTTTCGCTAGATAGCTTCACTGAGGATTTCGGCCAAAGCGGAACAGAGATCAAGATCTACACCGATTCTCGCGATCGTGTCCCAGAGTTGGATAAGAGTGAAGGAAACCCGTTCTACAAGAAGCCCAGTAGTAACACAGGCACTCGCACTTCCCGACGCAAAGAGATGATCCGTGATAAGGAAGTCGAGGAGTCAGTCAGGCGTGAAGATGGCATGGTCTACGTATTGTAAGTCATACCTTGATTCTGATGTATATGTCATATGTTCTAACTCCACTTCGCAGCCGTGGCAAGAAAATGTTCCGCAAGTTCACCGATGACGTTGACAGCTGTGGCGAGGACGAAGACGATGATGACCTGGGCTTGCTGGCGGCTCGTCCAGATCTTATCGATGAATCTGTGACCGCGAAACTTCGACCTCTCACTCGCTCATCAATCAAACCCCGCGTGCTCTTCCGTTCTGCGGCTTCTGATGCACAGCAGGATGGCACGGGCGAAGCGGACGAAGAAGCAGCTACAGACATTGAGGATCATTTACTTGACGTTGAGGCTGAAGAGACAGACAATACCGACCTCGATCACGACATGCTGCAGCGGTCTGTCACACCTCCTCCACGGACTACCACAGCGTCCCCTTCATCTCCCGGTGGCACAGTACGCTCCCTGCGCTCTCGAATCAAGCGAGATAGCACAGAGAAGAGCGAAACCCCGTCTGCCTCGGGCTCCGAAACCAAGAAGAAGCGCGTTAGTCCCTTCGACGGCTGGCTTCGAAGCAAGCAAGCTCCCCCCGTGGTCGGTACCAAGGCCAAGAAACGTGACGCGGACGCTGCTGCCAGTCCTGGTCCCGTTCCAAAGAAGACCCGCAGCAATCGCGCAACTACGTCGATATCATGATGACAAGCCTGGGGTGACCGACATAATTTTACTGGGGATGAAGCTCAAATTCTATCGACCTTACCAACTCAAGCAAAGGAGTCATACGGTGTTTTCCGAATCTGTCTTCCAGATTTCTTTTTCTGATCTCTACCTCACTGCGTGTTCTAGCGTTCTAGGCTCTTTCTTCTCTTTCTTTACTTCGATCGATGCATTCGACTATCCTGCCGATGTCTGGCTCACACAACACGGACCAAACGACATGATTATGAGACCGACACTCGCGATTAGGGAGGATAGTAGTTCTATGGGATGCGTGTTCAAGCGGGATGGAACTGGCTAGGTTTGGCGAAGCACATATGGTTGGCGTTGTTCTCCTATCTTCTCTTCTCGATTCTCTTCTTGCACTTGGACCGAATCATTGATCGCTACTACGATGTCTATGATTCCACTCCCCCCCTGCTTTTTCGGGCTCTCCTGCTCACTCTCACCCACCTTAGGTAGATCATTAGTTTAGCTTGAGGGACATGCTAGGTACTGTCTTGGTCTCCCCTTAGATATCCAATCAAATTGAATACCAAACGATGAACATATTCGATTCTCCGCCGTTCTCGTATTTCGTGGTCAAGTATCTCTACATCCTCCCGATTCTACATATGATGCAATTTTCATCAAGCACGGCACACCGTTCTCTAAATGACTCAGAATCACATACACCAATTCCCCGATCCAGTGAACGCCCGCCTCCAAATGCCATCAAGAAGAAACCAACAAACAGCCAAGTCAGGCCTTCTTTTTTGCTGCGGCCTTTCCGAAGAAATCACTCATTTTCTTCATCCCCGTGGTATTGACCTTTTTCAAGTCTCTTACACCTCTCGACTCACCAGCCTTCTTCTTCTTCTCTTCTTCCTCCTGCCGCCTCTTCTTCTCCGCCCGCGATTCCGCCGCCTCTTCGTCCTCAGCGCTGCGCTTCCGACTGAAATCCCCCAGCGACCTCGCCGCCAGGGCCTCCTTCCTCAATCTCGCGACCAGCTCGAGATGCTCCCGCATGGGCCGGAAATCCCTGGGCGCGTCCGGGGCCGCCAGCATCTCATCGATCCGGGCCCCCATCTCCCTGGACAGGTACGACTCCTTGATGAAGGTCAACGCGGTCGAGATGCGCATCAGCTCCGCCACGCCATCGGGGGTCGACGGTCCTTCAGGAAGCAGTTCTTCCTCTTCTGATTTTACGGCTGTCGTTGTCGAATCTGCATCAGCCACCACCGGGGCCTCCTCCTTTTTCTGGGGTGCGAGTTCATTCTCTTTATTCTCTTCACTATGGCCTGAAACAACCACTTCGACCGTCACCGCGGCAGACGTGTTGCTGCTGCTCTTCACCCCCATCAACGGCATCGCCAGCTCGCTCCGCACAAACCTCTCCTCCAGACTCGGAGGCAGACTGCCCCCGTGGGCCGCGAGGATCCGCTCCGCTTTCGTCATCAGCTCCATCAGGAGCTTCTTCTCGCTGAAGCGGAACAGCTTCTCGTCGCCGCCGGCGTCGACGGCATCGCAGATCGCGGCGGCGCGGGCGTGGATCGTCGCGCGGAAGGTCTCGTTGTAGAGGACGTGGCGGAGGTGCGGGGCCAGTTCGTCTTGGATAGAGTCGATGATGTCGTCGAGGGGTTGGTAGAGCGTGGCTTTGGCGGTGGTCAATAGGGGGATCAGGAAGAAGATGAAGTCGAGGGGTGTGGCGAGGTGGATGGATGCGGTTGAGGAGATTAAGGCTGGTGGCGAGCGCGGCGCTGGCTCTTGAGCGGTGGGAGGTGAGGTTTCAGCGGTGTCATCGTCTGGCGAGGATGATGTTGTGGTGGTCGGTGTGGAGTTGTTGCGCGCAAAGAGAATGCTTCGTGCGGCGGGCGCGGCGGTGGTGATGGTGGTGAATTCGTAGACGCCCTGTTGCGGGCAGAAGAAGTAGCGGGTGGGCTCGCTGGTTTGGGGATTGGGGAGGGTGAGAAAGCGGGCTTCGGGGCTGGCCGTGGAGGGTAGAATAAATGTTTTGCTGGGCTTGGTTGGGATTAAAGGCTGTTGGGGTTGTTGTTGTTGTTCGGACTCTGATGAAGGAGGAGACGCTGAGGCCGATTGCGCCGGAGGCTCCGAGGGAGCGGAGGATCGAGTGCGCGGCATTGCGAGGGTTGTGGTGGGTTTTGTGGGGAAGATGGGACGTAGAGGAGGTGTTCAAATAGCGACAAGCGGTAGCATTGCGGATTTCACGGAGTTGCTTTTGATGTTGAAGAGGAGTACTCCGTACTGTACGTACTTTGTCTCCGTAAATTGAAGTCAATTGAAGCGCACCTGGCCCGGAAGTGCTCAACGCGTCTTCTCGGTCGGCCGACGCGACAACGCGCGAACCAATCAGAAAGAAACTCACAATCCGCCCGCGGCGGTTAAAGTTAAGTTCCAACTTAAGTTAACGTGAGAAATGCGTTGAAATGCAGTGGCAGAATGTCATTGCTTCGTTCATTCGACCCTTCCCTTCCCTTCCCTTGCGTTTCATCTTATGCATGTCCTCGATTAATCGCCTCCCATTGCAGCCCCCCTTCGTCTCTTCTGTGTTGTTGTTGTCAGTGGAAATGGACCGTGGTTGAGGGAGTTCTACACCCACACCTGTATTCTTACTGAGTCGACTCGATACTACGCGACAATCACATCTGCTCCGATCGTCTTTTCCCCGCATCCCTTCATTCGCCTGAACATGGCAAGCAGTCGCCAACGAGGCTAACAATCGCTAAATACCCTCTTCGCCTCTTACTGCATACCGCCCTTGCCCTCAATTGTTTTTCTCCAATTTATATAGCTAGCGTGTGCTAATGACCAGCAGTGAGTACAGTCTTTTTGCCACACTCTCGTGATATAGTGCTAATATTCAATTGTGCCACAGTGGTCGATATTCCATGGCCGCCAAAATCACCGCGGGAGGCTCTTTTGAGTAGTCCGAGTGGCCGCAAACGCCTGGAAGAACTGCAGCGTCGTCAGGGAAACCCCGGCTCGCCATTGAAGCGCTCCGTCACGACCCCCGATTTACGATCTAAGGCAGCACAGCTCCTGAGCGACGGCATGGACGATGACGACGAAGATGAGGACGAGGATGAGGAGACATTGAAACTGAAATTGGCCGCCATTGAGGCTCGCCTCAAGCTGAAACAACTTCAGAAGAGTCGCGCAAAGTCCGGAACTCCAGCACACGCCGCACAAGACGGAGACAATGCTCTTGTCCGACCTTCGTCGGCAGTGAGCTACTCATCGCAGTCACAGACCCACATCTCTCGAGGCAGAACTGAGCGGAGGGTTCAACACGACACCTCTCTGGACGACGTGCAGGTTCCGCTCTCACCAACACGACGGCCGACGGCCCCGACGGATCCAGTATCCCCGCGGAGATTTATCTTAGGTATCGATAAAGGTCTCAAATCAAGGGACGTGTCTCTGAAGCGACCTCCAAGTTCGCGAAGCACTGGCCAGTCACTTGCGACGAATGGCAACAGGACATCGACTGGTCGCGACGGCTATGTCTCACACTCGAACAAGCTTCTGCAGACAGTCACTGCGGATCATGAATACGGTCGCCCGAAGAGCTTCAGCGAGCGCATGGCCGAGAGTCGCTCGGAGGAAAAGGCCCGGAAGGATCGAGTTGAACGGGCTGAGCGCATTCAAGCCAGCCGGAGCACGGCGTTTCACGTCGACAAAAATGAAGTCGAAGCGTTGAAAGCGGCTGCGGAAGCGAGGAAGGACGAAAGCCCCCGGTCACCCGTACGCAGCAGGCAGACCGAAAGTTTCAGTCGGGAAGACGTCCTGCGGTCTTATGGCAAGCTCAAGCCACCCTTGAAACGGAGCCAGACCCTCCCCAGTGTACGGCCTCAGGACATCGATGCGGAACACAAGGAGTCAAAACCGTACTTGCACAGGCGAAATCTTAAGTCGGAATCTCAAGCACATGCCTCTTTGCTGGGAAGCTCCCAGCACAACGCTACGGATGACTCCCAGGGCGAGAACGGTGGTGATGCATCAAAATTTGAAGCATTCTCTGGCTTGCACTTGTCGAATCGAATTCTGCCCCATTCATTCCTCACGCGGACGCTCGAGGACAAGAAGGTTCTCCGTATTCCAGATCTTCTTCGAACCATTAAAGCACCGAACTTCGAACTACCGGAAGACATCGACACAGACTACGTGGTTTTCGGCATTGTAGCATCCAAGTCCGAGCCCAGACAGGTCAAATCGAACAAGAATGTCTCACAGAAGGAGGCCGACCCCTTCGACGACGGTCTCAACAACACCAATTCATACATGGTCATCACCCTGACTGACCTCAAATGGACCATAGATCTTTTCCTTTTCGAGACTGCCTTTCCGCGATACTACCGGCTCTCTGAGGGGATCCTAGTTGCAATTCTGAACCCTACAATAATGCCACCACCCAAAAACAAGCTGGATACGAACAAATTCAGCCTCGCTATCTCTTCCTCCGACGACACCGTTCTCGAAGTCGGGTACGCTCAGGACTTGGGATTCTGCAAAGCCACCAGAAAAGACGGCAAGACGTGTCATGCATGGGTTGATGGACGCAAGACTGAATTCTGTGATTTTCACGTTGATCTGCAAGTCCGCAAGACCCAAGCTGGGCGGATGGGAGTGAACAATGGACCAGGCATGTACGGGCCTGGCGGACGTTCTGGCTCCCGTACTGGTTACTTCGCGGGCGGCGGTCATGACGGCGTGAAACGACCCGGGCCACGAAATGGACTTAAGCCGACCGGCGCTCAATATGACAGCGGATCGCAGTCCGTTTTCTATGTCGCGCCGGCGCCGAGGACTTTCAACAGAGGTGGCCTGGGTAGTGGAAATGTTCACCGTAACCAGCATTCCCTGGGCCAGTCTGCAGCTAGCCTGATCGATGCTGATACGGACGACCCTTTCATCGCCGCAGGTCGAATGGGACGTGGGAGAGACAGCAAAGAAGAGCGATTCCGCAAGCGCCTTGCAGATAAACAGCGCGAGAAAGATATCACTGAAAAGCTCATCACCCGGACCAGCGGCGTAGGGGCAGAGTACCTCCGTGCTCGAGGTAATGACCATGTTGTTCCTGCTTCGCGTCCCAGCGATGCCTCAAAAATCCAATCACGCAAGGCCGGGGACAAGGACTCCGCAGTCGCTACCCTTAGTCTTGCAAGTCTGCGCAAAGCAGCAGCCGTCAACCTCAGCCCTTTGAAACGCGCACATGACGGCGGCAGCGACAGATCGCACGGCAGCAGTGCCGTCAAGAAAACTCGGTTCATCACCTCTCATGGTATCAAGGAAGCTGGGAGGGACAGTTTGGGCGGGAAGTTAGAAATGGTATCCACGAACGATCATGATGACGACGACGATGAATTGGACATCATCTGAGCGAATTGAATCAGAATCAGGAGAGAAGAAACAAGAACCCTCTACATCGTCAACACGAGGAAGAGAATAAAAACAAGATAATAATATTAGATACCCCTTTGACCGGTCCCGGATACATCCTGATGAGTGTTGAATTTTTGTCATAATTTGCTTAGCATTGTCCGTGACTCATTATGAAGGAGTCCTAACACCTGGAGGTTGTTCTCCTCTGGTGTTTATCTGACTCCGCCATGAGAACCTTTCTCTTTAAGCTTGGTACTTGAGCTACAGGCAACCTCTTTCAGCAGTTTCTGTTGCATGACTACCCAACACCATTTGTAGGTCTGTCGTCAAACACATCATTCAAGCCGCCAACAATGCATGTTCGGAGGATTTTCACGATTGTTTGCCACTCTGGAGTATGTTCTCCTAGAATTCGCTTATTAAATAGTTCTCCACCCAGATGGTACATGCTGTGTGAACTCCCTGGTTCTTTGTCAACAATTTGTATGGATTCGATTCTTAAAACATATAGTACTGTATGATTTGTTACTTAGTGAAGACTAGCAGCTGAATGGTACTAGCCTTCTCTCTAGTTAGGGCCGGAAGCTTTATATAAATCCACACTCGGACTCAGATCCTGCTTACTCAGTCATAGAATGCCAGCTGAAAAGAAGACTACCTGTTTATGCTGTGTCATGGCAATAAATTGAGAGAGCGTGAGTTACTAGTTGTACTCATAGAGGTCTCTGGATGGTTGTTCCGGTGGTTTTGTGGTATAGTTCATCCTCGTTATATATGATCGGGTAGTCGCGAGCCCCACCCCATGATTACTGGTGCTCTTCTAGTGTTGCGATCACATTGGTATGTATCCTGCTGTGCATGATAGCCAGAAACCATAATCTGGATCATGGAAGACTGCATACAATTTACAGAGATGGAATTATACAGTACCATAGCCGAGTAATGGTCGGAAGTATACTTCCATTACCAACTGAGATGGGCATACTAGCACAACGCGTGTATACATTCCATATGCGGTTAGATATGTTGAAAATATGAATGCAAAATGAACAGTGGATTGTATATACATAGAACGCAGAAGACTGCAAGGAATCTTCGTCAGCATGCTGAGTTCTTGCAAACCTGCGTGTGAAGATGTCTTGGGCGTCGATGCATGCTGCGGCCGAAGGAGTTCAAACATCCATTGCATGCTTTTGAACGGAAAAGGAATCCACAGGAGATGAGTACGCTTCTGAATGTGACTATTGTCCAGATGAGGAGGTGTAATCTGCCGTCGTCGTAACCATCACCATCATCATCGTGCAGCCATCTCAGATCTCAGTGCTTCTACCATGGTCATAGCGACCTAGTACAGTACTTGCATTCATGTGACATGTCCAGCTTGATTGCCGACAGGATTGCCACTCCTGTCAAGGTTGACTACGACGCAGGTATCCGATCAAGTCATTGCTTTCCCTGGCTAACAGGATGTGTAAGTGCGAGAAAGAAGTGATCTAGATCAGTGGCAAGACTATACCAACAGTCAATAACTCAGAGGGATTTACTCCATGCTTACTCTAGGCTTTTACTTCCAACTGCCTCTTGGGTTGAAGAAGGAGGCCGATGATCGGAGCCCCGGGCCGGTTCGAAACCAATGAGGAGCCCCAGATTATGGGCTGGTGCCGGCACTAAACCCCGAACAGGCTAGGAGGCAAAGATGGGCGATCCCCGACTTAGGCAAGTCTGAGTCTTTCTCGCTCTCTTGCCCTTGCCTTAAGGTTACGCTTCCTCTTCCTCCTCTCTTTTCCCCGTTTTTCCATTCTTCGTTGTGAGCTTCGTCTCTCAATCTTATTTCCACCCGGTTTGGCACTCATCCGCCGTCAAGATGATGCCCCTGAGACCGTCAAAAAGCGCTCTGCGCACTCTGCATTATCAGAGATACCTCACCTCTGGCCGAAGGACTTTTACCACTGCCACTGCCTCGCCCCACCGCTTCGCTGCGACACAGAAAAGAACCCAGAGCACTGCTGCCGCCACGGCCTCGTATGTGTTTCTAAACCCCTATCACCCCCAGCTGCATTCGGGGTTCCTGCTCCCAGTACAATTCGCAATACTAATTCGTTTCTCAATTGCGCAGGAATTCGAGACCCATCCCCAGCCCTGCATTCAACCAAGAACCTCACCGCAATGAAGTCTCGCCACTCCAGAACCGCCAGGCTCCCGAGCTGGACGACTCGTACGTTTTTCCCACCGGTCCCCCTTCACTGCGATTATGGCGCTGACCGGGCCCTTTGTGCCCACACAGTTTCGTCGGTCTCAGCGGTGGTGAGATTTTCCACGAGATGATGCTGCGTCTTGGCGTCAAGCACGTTTGTGAGTCATGCCTTTTTCCCCCTTCTCGGTGAAGGTATCAGGATTGACCCACTGTCGATAGTCGGCTACCCTGGAGGTGCCATTCTTCCCGTTTTCGATGCCATCTACAACTCCAAGCACTTCGACTTCATTCTCCCCAAACATGAGCAGGGCGCTGGACACATGGCTGAGGGTTATGCCCGTGCCTCTGGCAAGCCCGGTGTTGTCCTCGTCACTTCCGGCCCCGGTGCCACCAACGTGATTACCCCGATGCAGGACGCTCTCTCGGACGGAACTCCCATGGTTGTCTTTTGTGGCCAGGTCCCGACTAGCCTGATCGGAACCGACTCTTTCCAGGAAGCCGATGTGATTGGAATCTCCCGCGCTTGTACCAAGTGGAACGTGATGGTCAAGTCTGTTGCCGAACTCCCTCGCCGTATCCAGGAGGCTTTCGAAATTGCCACCAGTGGCCGCCCCGGACCTGTCCTCGTCGACCTGCCCAAGGATATCACCGCCGGCATTCTCCGCAAGTCTATTCCCATGAACAGCACCCTTCCGGCTCTGCCCAGCGCTGCCAGCGTGGCTGCCCGCGAAGTGAGCATGCAGCAGCTCAAAGGCACCATCGGCCGCGTCGCGCGCCTGGTCAACATGGCCAAGAAGCCCGTCCTGTACGTTGGTCAGGGTCTGCTCGCTCGCCCTGATGGCCCGGAGGTTCTGAAGGAGCTGGCTGACAAGGCCTGCATTCCTGTCACTACTACTCTTCAGGGTCTGGGTGGATTCGACGAATTGGACCCCAAGGCCCTGCACATGCTGGGTATGCACGGTTCGGCTTATGCCAACATGGCCATGCAGGAGGCTGATTTGATCATCGCCATTGGTGCTCGTTTTGATGACCGTGTCACTGGTAACATCTCCAAGTTCGCTCCCCAGGCTAAGCTGGCCGCCGCTGAGAACCGCGGTGGTATCGTGCACTTCGAAATCATGCCCAAGAACATCAACAAGGTGGTCCAGGCCAACGAAGCTGTTGAGGGTGACTGTGCGGACAACATTCGCCTCCTCCTCCCCCAGATTGAAGCTGTGCCCGAGCGCAAGGAGTGGTTTGAGCAGATCAACGATTGGAAGGCTCGGTTCCCCTTCTCCTTGTACGAGAAGCAGACCGAAGAGGGCCCGATCAAGCCCCAGGCTGTGATCGAGAAGCTCAGTGACCTGACTGCTCACATGAAGGATAAGACTGTCATCACGACCGGTGTTGGTCAGCATCAGATGTGGGCTGCCCAGCACTTCCGCTGGCGCCAGCCTCGTACCATGATCACCTCTGGTGGCCTCGGTACCATGGGCTACGGTCTTCCCGCCGCTATCGGTGCTAAGGTCGCTCGCCCCGACGCTCTCGTCGTTGACATTGACGGTGACGCTTCCTTCAACATGACCCTCACTGAGCTGTCTACTGCCAACCAGTTCAACATCGGTGTTAAGGTCCTGCTCTTGAACAACGATGAGCAGGGTATGGTTACGCAGTGGCAGAACCTGTTCTACGAGGACCGCTACTCCCACACCCACCAGAAGAACCCCAACTTCGTCCCCTTGGCCGAGGCTATGGGTGTTGCCGCTCAGCGGTGCTCCAAGCCCTCTGAGGTCGAGGCCAAGCTCAAGTGGCTGATTGAGCACGATGGCCCCGCTCTCCTGGAGGTGATCACCGACCGCAAGGTGCCTGTCCTGCCTATGGTGCCGGCCGGTTGCGCTCTGCACGAGTTCCTTGTTTACGACGAAGGTATGCTATAATTTCCCCGGTCAACATGCTACAAACGCTGATATCCATGACTTTGCAGCCAAGGAGAAGGACAGGAAGGCCCTCATGCGCAAGCGTGGTGCTCCCATGTAAGCGACGGAGCTGATTCCAGCGAAGCGTTACGACGATCTTAGTTTTCTTCTTGCAAAAGTGCCCTCGACCCATGATCTGTTGATATCCACGGCGTTTCTGGCGGGTTCTAAAAACGCTCGCGGGTGCCATTCTGCGCCTACCCGACACCGATCACCCGACTCGCTTGGAGCCGGGGACCGTGAACGACAGTAAAGCAGCATCGTTCACTAGGGCGTGATCGAGTACCCCACGGAGAATGCAGTTGCTCCTCTGTGTGGCTCGACGACCGCCAAAGTCTTCCTTTTCTTTTCTGGGCATGTTCTCAATCGCATTATGGTTTGCCAGAAAAAGTTGCCTCGTTAGTTCTTGCGGAACCTCACTTGTATATAATCCTTTTGCTGCTGTAATCTTTATGACTTGGAAATACCATGGAGGCATCGAAAAGGAATCTGTTCCGGGGTGAAGACAAAGCCGAGAGAAGTAAGAGCACATACAGTCCACGATAGTTAGGGTATTTTCGTATTAACGGGAGCCTGAGGCATATCACGTGCAGGCAGTTGGGGAGGTCCAAGTCCATTTTTGGCAATCTTCACAGCCGCGGTTCTTATCCGAAGTTGGAGCTAAGTTAGTCAGGGCTGGTTGCTTGTCCGCCTCTCGAGTTCTTCCCCCCTCCCCCACCGCCAGTTTTTCTGTTTATTTTCCCACACGTCGCACTATGCTGCGATCACCGATCTAACGTACTGTCACATCTTCACTCTATCTCCCTACATAGATAGTCCCGATACCTCACCATGGCCTCTGCTTCAGGTTTTCCAGCCGCTGGCAGGGCCCGATTATCCGACGCGGGTATGACATCAACCCACCAGACTGAAAGCACGACGACGACGACGACGACGACGACGACGAGCGACTCAACAAATACCAGAAGCGACACCAATGCGACCCCCGGCAATAGCGGAGCCGTAGATGAACCGGTGCTTCTCCCCAGCCAATCCTCTCCCTCCGCCGAGACCGTCACGACCGAACCTCCGACAGCGGACCAATCCACCCTGGTCGACCCATCGTCATCAACCATGCACGACGACGAAGAACCGCGCAAATGCTGGATCTGCTATACGGACGAGACGGAAGACACGCCGCTCAGCTCGGAGTGGCGATCGCCGTGCCCGTGCGCGCTGACCGCGCACGAAGCGTGCCTCCTCGACTGGCTGGCGGACCTGGAGAATCCGCGGTCGCGCCAACGCAACACCTCCAGCGCGAAGATGGTCTGCCCGCAGTGTAAGACGGAGATCATGGTGTCGCGGCCGCGCAGCTACATCGTGGATGTCGTGCGGCTGTGCGAGCGGGTGGCCGGCCGGCTCGCGCTCCCGGGGATGGTGTTCACGCTGGCCGGCACGGTGTGGGCGGGCTGCTGCGTGCACGGCGTCTACTCGATGTACTTTGTGTTCGGGGCCGAGGAGGCCCGCCATCTGCTGGAGGAGTCGATCGACGGGTCGTGGAACGCCGGCGTGAACCTGGGCCTGCCCCTGATCCCCATGTGTCTGATCCTGACCCGCACGCGCTACTCGGAGAGTCTACTTGCTGCGATCCCATTCCTGCTGCTGGTCACGCACACGCCGGTCATCGAGCCGGCCGCCGCGACGGACCTCTGGCCGCCCACGCCGGCGGCGACGTTCGCCGCGCTGCCGTACGTCAAGCGCCTGTATTCGCTGCTGTATGACCGGATGTTCGGGAAGCTGGAGAAGAAGTGGATCCAGGAGGTGCAGCCGCGGAATTCGGAGATCAACGAGCTCGATGACAATGCGCCGCCGAACCATCCGGAGCCGATCCCCGATGAAGCGGAACCGGTGGATGATGGCAACGGACCAGTGCTGATGGAGTTCGACTTCGAGTTGCAGGTGGGAATGAGAGGGGACGAGGACGGGGCCCGGGGATTGTTTGGGTTCAACGGTGGACGAGGCGCAGATGGACAACAGCTGCAAGGTCCGCAGAATAACGGCGGCGGCGCAGCAGCAGCAGCAGGGCAGGGACTGGGCCTGGGCCGGCGGGATGATGCGGTTGCTGAGACGACGAACCTGGCCGATCTAGTTCTCGGGGCTCTGGCTTTACCGGCCATCTCCGCGTCGATGGGAGGGTTGCTCCGACATGTGCTGCCGAGCTCGTGGACAACGCCTTCCACGGCGGGCCGACCGGGCCTGTTGCAAACGCGCTGGGGCCGCAGCGTCGTTGGAGGCTGTGTGTTTGTGCTCCTGAAGGATGCTTTGGTGCTCTACTGTCGGTGGAAGTTGGCGCAGTCCCATCGTCGTCGCAAGGTGCTCAACTACGACCGATCCAAGAAGCATCTCCGGGCGAGCAGCAGGGCAAACAACAGCACTTAGGCTTATAGTACGCAGCACGACTGTTGGAATTTGCATTTTTTGAGGCGTTTTGTTGTGGCGAATGGGATGATTATTCATGATACACTTTCTTTTCGTTTCGTTTGCGACTCTCCGACTCTACGTTGTTTGGACAAAAAGGCGGGCACATATTTTCAAGGATGCACTTAGCAACAAGCAGGAAGCACTTAGCAATCAGCAATTAAATTGCGATCCACCTTATGCCTAAAAATCGTAGGGCGTTTTACCTCACCCAGTCTGTTGCACATAGTTAAGTACATATACAGTTCATCGACAAACCAGAGCCCCGGGGACGGGGCGCTTAATCATCCACCTAAGCGCGCGGCTGGCCACCGCACCGCAGCCCCCAAACTTTCCGCCGGGCGAGATACTTTCTTCCCCGAAACAATTTCCCTTCACTCTCTTCCTCAACATCACGGCACCACCCTGCCTCCAGCCACGGAAGATGCGAACAACACTCTCCCCGGTTCTCGCCTCCCTGGCGAACGTCTTCCGCATCCCCCTGTCGCAGACTGCCTCCCGCCCGGCCGCCGCCGCCGCTCTCACCCGGCTCAATGGCAGCAACAGCAGCAGCAACAGTATCACTACCAACAGACAATTCTCAACGACAAGCGCAATGGCCAAGCGCAAGAACGCCGGTCCCTCACGGGACAAGCGAGTCAGTACGTGTCCTAGCCTATGGCCCCGTTCACCCAACCCAACACCGTACACCGTACACCATACACCATACACCCCAAGAGAGACTCAATCCTCCCAACAACCCCAACCCCAAACCTACCCCCCAATTACCCAAAACACCTCCTTCGCCCCCCTACAAAACCTCACTAACAACCCCGAAAAGCAATGATCCGCTACTTCCTCCACCACCCGCTGACCCCGCGGCCGCTCCGGTTCAGCCGCACCCGGTTCCTGCGGCACTGGACGATCCACCGGGCGTGGCACCTGTACCAGGCGCAGCGGCGGCGGGCGGAGACGCTGGAGCTGGAGCGGCAGTGGCAGGCGATGCGGGCGGCGTGCGAGGAGCTGCGCACGGGCGCCGGCGACGGCGGCAAGCTGTTCCGGAAGAGCATGATCAAGACGGGGATCTTCAAGGATCTGTTCCCCATCGAGTACGCCCGGTTGCAGACCGAGGGCCCGCCGGCGGAGGGGTGGAATCATGAGTGGAAGGCTTTGAAATGATCCATCCTGTTTTTGATGGTTTGAGAGGGCGGTGGAGGGGTATGGGGATATTCGGGAGGTATACATGGAAGGTTGGGGTGGGAAAATATGGGTGTAGAGTATCGCTCTCCTGCGTTGAAGACTGTTTTTTTTTTGTCGTGTATATTAGTACATACCTGCTTCAATCATATTATCTGGTGTTGTTTGTTTACTCCGTGGGTACTGGGTACTCTGCTTTGCCAGTGGTAAACCTTCCATACTACTCATATTTACTGCCTCGATGTTCAAATAGCTTAACGCTGGGCACTGGCATGCACACGCACACAAAGGAATGGACTCGAAAAAACCCGTCAAGGAAAGTAATGTCAGTCGACTCAAGTAATGTCAGTCGACTCCAAGGGTATGAAACAGAGGTCAAGACTGCAACAACAAAAAAAGGCCACCCGAACGCCGAAAATGCAAAGTCGATCAACAGCCACCGCACACTATCTCCTTCACATACTGTCCACCTTTTGGTCCCACCTTTTGGTCCCACCACCCCCCGCAATATGCACATGCCATGCTCATGGCTCTCCGAACGTTGGAAAATGGCTCAACAAAAGATGCAACAACGCACAAAAACGAAGAATCAATCTCGGTCGTGCGGTCGGGCGGGCTGGCATGCATGCAATATGTTCGCTGGAAACAAGGACATCCTATCCCCCCAAACATACAATACGAGAAAAAGAAGATCCGTCCGACATCATAGCACAATGCAGCATGAGCTCTTCCGCTTGTCGAACGTCAGCAGCGCGGCCCGGGTGGCGGCCTCGAACACGTCGTCCACCCCCTCCCCCGTCAAGGAGGAACACTCCAAGTACTTGCGGGCGCCGATCTGGGTGCCGATATCGCTTCCTTCCTTGGACGTGACGAACCTCAGCGACTTCTTCCGCATCTCCTCGACCGCCAAGGGGTCCTCCCGGAGATCCTTCTTCAACCCGACCAGGATGATGGGGACGCCGGGACATCGTTCGTTCGCTTCTTCGATCCACTGCACCGTAGTAGCCCTTGTCAGCGCCCCGTTCTGCTACCTAAGATAACAGAGCCACGAACCTTGTGTTTGACGTTCTCCAGCGAATCAGGCGTATCCACCGAAAAGCCGATCAGAATCACATGCGCCTTCGAGTAGGCCAGCGGGCGCAGCCGTTCGTAGTCTTCCTGACCAGCAGTATCCCACAGAGCCAATTGAACCGACCGACCGTCTACGCGGCAATCTGTTACGTAGTTCTCGAAGACCGTTGGCACCTAGGTTGGATCATGCGCCGGTCAGGATGTTGTTGCAAAGAACAAAAAGAGCGACGGGGGGTAGACAATACATACATAATGCTGCATGAGACAAATCAGTCAGTGACATCATCCTTAGAGAGTTTCGAGTTGGGACAACAACATACCGTTGGAAAGTAGCCCAGCGTGAAGACGCTGAGCAAACTGGTTTTCCCACAGGCACCATCTCCGATAATCACCAGCTTTCTATCCTAGTCGTTAGAACCCAGGCGAACCTCAAATGTCCAGGTGCATCGTGTGTAACTTCATGGTGGCCGCCAACACAGAATGGGGGATGGGAGATGGGCGGATCCCGGGGGATCTCCAGGCACCACCCGTTTCGGGCGGAGGTGAGAGAGAGGGGGGGGAGGGAAGAGACAGGTTCAAGGGAAAGGAAGGTCGATCGAAATAGATTAAAGGCGAATCTGCCGCACGTACCTTCGCATCACATTGTCATTTTGTTGTTGTTGTTGCGCCATGATTTCCAAAGAGAAAAAAAAAAGAAAAGTGGGAATCTTTAAAGTCGATCCCCTGGACGGAGTTGCAGGCGAGGAATGGACGGGATGAGAGCAACGGGAAATCAATGTGAGGGAGGGCGCGCTGACGAGCCCTGGCGGGAACCCGGAACGGAACAAAACCCCCCAGGCAGGCAGCAAGCAGGAGGCTGTGACGGAGATGTCTAGGGCCGTGAACTAAATCTCTGTAGTTCAAATGTGTAAGTGTAAGTGTAGGTGTAGGTGTAGGTGTAGGTGTAGGTGTCAGTATAGGTGTAAGATGGCGAATGTTTAGTTGAAGATTGATTGGGGAGGGGAAAGTATAATGGATGGGAGGGGAAAGAAAGTGAAATCAGATTGGTCAATGTCCCCTCCCCCTAAGTATGAAATAAACTGATGGAGGAAGAGAAAAGGGTCATTATATTGGGAAGGGAAGATGTAGGAGTAGAGAGGAAGAGGAACGAGGGAGGAGATTAAGAAGAAGAGTAAGAAGCGCAAGAGTAGGTAGACAACAGAGCAATCGGAGCCAAGCAGAGAGAGTACGGAGTAGACAAGACAAGACAGACAAACAGTCAGATACTGAGTAGACATGGCCAGGTCCAAGATTGGTTCTGGAAGGCGGTCGCCCATCATGGATCCAAATGAGGCTGACGGTTATGGTAGGTACCAGGTATGTAATCCCATGTAATCTCACAAGCAACTCACCTTCTCGGGCCTGAATACGGTCACGGAACAAAGCTCCAATTATGACTGGTTGAGGAAAGTATGTACTCCGGACCTACTAGGTAGTAATAATGAATCCCACGGGTGAGAAAACGAGGTAGTATATATGGACTGATTGATTGATTGATTACCACTATCCCATCAGCTACTAGTCATTATTCTTCTTGTCAAGTGGAAATCCATCGAAAACCTCGAGAGAAAATTCCAGCCCGGCCGAAGCACCAGCACCAGCACCAGCACCAGCACTCGCCCTAAATGGACTGGACCACTTCCTCCCTCCACTTCTTCCCCCCCTCCTCCCTCCTCCTCCCCCCCTCTCATACTCCGTGGTAATCAAACCTTTGAATGGAAGGAGGAGATCGACCTAGTGGGATGGCACAGCTGAAGAATCGTCACCGCACGGCCGTTTGTTACTAAGGTTAGAGATTTGTCTCAGACAGTGCAGGCCAGAAATGGGTGATAATCATGGCTACTATTATCAGTGCCGCCCGGATGCAAAAAAAAAAAAAAAAAAAAAAAAGGAGCCCAGAGCAGGGGCTACCGCAATTGACCATTGGATGATCGTGCAGCTCGATATTTATAGGATCCTCCATTGGTCGGTAGGGAGGGAGAAGCGATGTACTAAAGAAAGAGGAAAAGAAAAAAATAAACACGGACAAATCCGTGGTGCTTATCCAAGCAGCAACTAGTTAACACTTACAATCAGTCAATCACGACCACAACAGCTCGGGAGAGCTTGAGAGGCGGTTCGTGATCAGAAACATGTGGACTCCACTGTTCCCCTGTCGGACAATCCTCTTCACTCCGAACCCTGTACGGGGTCTGTGGTACATACTGTACAGTGTCATGACTGTCATCATCATCTCCGGGATCCTCGTCACCCTTAGCAGCCAGCTAAACTACTTGCTCTCGACCTCTGTGCATGCCTCCCTTCCTCGTTCATGAAGGTCAACTGCGGACCTTGACATTCTTGACTTGACTTGACAGACATATTGCGGCCCACAATCCCCGAATTTGGTGCCTGGCCTGTCAATTCATAGTTTCAGACTGTAACTGATTTACCTAATGGGCGCCGGAAAGGGCGGCGGGCTGGATGTTTCCATGTTTCCCGCCATCCTCCCTTACCAAATCTCAGGACTCCCTGACTCTCAAATCAACTTATACGATATGCTTAAATCACTGGCCAACTAACAATCAACGCTGTTAGTTACAGACTCCAATGAAAAGAGAGATACCAAGCAAACCGAATCCCGCTAATACCATGACCCTTACTCATTGGATACCTGGGAAACCACACCACTGCATCCTGCAACTACTCGCTCAGAGCTCCACCACATCAACGTCGTAAACGAGGTGTTTCTGGCCCAAGCCCCACGACTCTAACCCCAGAATACGATACAGGCTCAAACTAGCCCACATAACGTTTTCTTTCAGCCACAACGCCCAAGGGTTGATGGCTTTCCGGCCTTGCCCATTCTTGGCTGCCAGTTGATAGATCTCGTTGACCCGCGGTCGACGAATTGCGTCGTATCGGGCAAACGCATCGTCCAAGCTCCAGTCCTGCTCTTGCAGTACCCGTGAGAGCAAGAACACATCTTCCAATGCCATGGACACTCCTTGCCCTGCGTGAGGCTGCATTGCATGCGCTGCGTCCCCAAGCAGGATTGCCCGAGATGTATACCATTTACCACCCAGCGGGAGTCGGAAGACCGGATAAAACCCGATAAACTCCATGCGGTCCACCAATTCAGTCAGGATGCCTCGCCATTCGCCTCGAGCGGGCTTCGACACTGCTCTGATCGTGGCCTTGAACATCTCCATCTCTTGTTGACGTCGCTCTTCCCACCCATCCCGCTCGTTGCCGGACTCAGAGTACGGAATGGGCGTCTCCCGCGAAAACAGCCAGTAAAGCTGGTCCCCGGACGCACTACACGGAAATGTTGCCATAAACCCCACGGTGGTGGGGATTATGTTGGCCGACGTTTTAAGCTTCTCCGGTAGACCAGCCGTCGAGATAATGGAACCGCTACCCGCAATGCCGGAGTATTCGGGCTTGCAGGGCGGGTCTACATGCAAACGTCTCACGCTGGAATGGATTCCGTCACATCCAATCAGTATGTCGGCTGTCTCGGTCGAGCCGTCAGAGAAGGTTACCGTCACGCTGGATGCATCCTCCGTGATCGAGGCCAGTCGTTTGTCGAAATGGACCGGAATCTGCTCCTCATGGACGGCGTCGAACAACACGCTCTGTAGATCTCGCCGGAGAATGCGCAAGTATCCAAAGCCAGTCCTTTCCGCCGCCCAGGCTGAGATATCAGTGCTGCCAATGCTGCCGTACTGCAGTGATTGCAGATGGAATCTGTCGACGGAAGAGCCGCGGGCAAGGAGGGCGTCGTGCAGACCCAAACGATGAAGTAGGCGCAAGCCGTTGGCAAATATGCCTATGGCCCCACCAATCGTAGTTGGCTCAGGTCTTAGCTCGTACACTGTAACATGGATGCTGTTCTCGCGATGTAATTTGAGTGCAGCAGCAAGGCCAGCCGGGCCCGCACCGATAATGATAGCCTAGATAGATAGATGTCAGGAGCACTTACCGAGACTCTGTGGAATATCACTTACTTTCTTAATAACAGACATGGTAGTATGATGATTTGTTTGGCATGTATTGAAAAGCAATCCAGGAGAGGTTGTCGCTTGTTCTTATAGACAGGAGGGCATGGTGCTCCGCGGGAGTTCCGCGGAGGGTGATGCCCCAACGGGGTTAGCTCTGGCATTGCCCGTGTCCGGGGTAGGGAGATCTTACCCGCAGTCCGGTTACGGTACTTCTTAGTATCATCCATGATGGTTATCTATCCTCTAGAATATGTGATCGCTCTCTTTCGCCGTGCAGGGGCAGGGCAGAAAGGAAGTGCTTATGCCTCGAGGCCTTGTGATTCCTACTCTACATGACCGAGAAGGGGACCAGGACGGAAATGAGCCCATCCATTGGGTGCTATTTTCACACTTGTCTTATTCTCTTGGTCTGGAGGGTACGAAATATCGGTGCATGGATCTTTCTGCTGAACATGCTGACATGACTAAGATGCAATTAAACCTTCACTCTTACGAGAACACCTGACTTACAAGGCATAACCAACTTATCGCTACGAGACAAACAATATTAACCACGCTTTGCAATGACCCAGCTAAGAAAATCCCTCGCAGATCCGTCCATAACAGCTAGCTTCGCACTCGAACAAGCACTCCGGGACTGCTGTGGCCTTGTCGAAAGCGACTCCAAGTGTAGATAAGAATCTACTATTCTTATCTCTAACTTCTGGGACAGCTTGAACAACGCCTAATTCGCCGAAACATGCAGCGTCTCCAACATGACTGACCCACCACGACACACTGTTATCATGAAAGCAACACCGTCATCAAGTTACTGTGCTGCAATGATCTTATCAGCCATCTCGGGAAGTGTCTCTGCCATGACATCCATATCTCCAAATAACTCAGTGATCGGCTCCTTCTCCCAAATGGAACAATAAGCGGATTTGTATCTGTTAAGACGTGTTAGCAGCCTCGGAACCCGGTTGTGATGCTGCACCACTCACCCCGCACAGCGAGCCGCCGAAACGTCCCACATATGACCGGCAGCGAACCATGGCCGCCCGTGCTGTGACAGTCGCTCAAGGAGCGGCTGGTACGCTTGCAGATCAGGCTTTCCTATCCCCTGGGTATCGCAGGACAGCAGATTCTCTGCGGGCCATTCGAGACCGGCCTCTGCGAAGTAGCCCCCCACTCTCGCCAGGTCCCCAGCTGTGAAAGCCCAAACCGTGTACCCAGCGTCGCGCAGCTTGGTGATGCATTCTATTGCGCCCGGTCGCAATCCAAGTTTGGCATACTTTTCCATGATGAATTCGAGGTCCTTTTCCGTGGCGAAGCTTCGGGGCTCGGAGATGCCTGCCATGTGCAGCATGCGCCAGAACAGCAGCTCAAAGCACGTCGCAAAGGGCTTATACTGGCCACTGATGCTAAGATAGGTGTATTCCCGCTCTGCAACTTCGATCCAGGTGTATCCCAGCAGCGTCGGCTTGATGCCCTCCGCTCGGAGTCGGTCGCCCATCTGCTCGTCGATCGCATCGAATAGGACATCATACGAAACCAGAGTGCCCACGATGTCGAAAACCACGTTCTTGCTGCTAGACATAATGATGATTCTGGACACTAGAAGGTATGCTTGTCGGTGTGGGATATTAGGTCTTTGGCTGCGACCAGAAGAGTATTCATATCGCTTCTTATATGCTCGAATGTGGTCGTGGCTAGCCTTGGACTCCTTTGCACCCCACTCTTGCTCTACTTGGCCTGACGCAACCAAGTGAGGAGAAGCCAGGATGTGAGATCCGAAGACCTATGACTGGCTGTCTGCGCCGTACATTATGACTCGGCTATCGTCCAAGCCTTATCTTGTTGTATATGGCTTCACGCCGAAATGATTAGATATGGGTGCATAACGACCAATGGTATCTCTACGTTGCTATCTACAGTAGGAGATATAAGATGTCGCAGGGCATTCCAAGTGACTCATTCTCATCAACTCGGCAGTACACGAGACGCCAACAGCCATGACGACGAAAAAAACGGCCGCGGAACCACACAATGTGGAGATCATCGCTGATCTCGAGCAAAGTGATGACTTTGCGAAAGGCACATCGGAGCTCCTGGGAGCCAACGAAGATGTCGGCTATCATCGATCGCTGGGCCGTCGCCAAATCATGATGATGACCTTCGGGGCAGGCATCGGCACTGGCTTGTATGTCCAATTTGTCTCCTATTTGTGCTAGGAAAATAAGTCTCATAATGTGTCAGATGGGTCGGTACAGGCACAGCCCTCAAGTACGGTGAGACAATATTAGCCCTGGGAACGAACTACGGATCTGACCATCAAATGTAGCGGGTCCGGGTGGCATTGCCATCGCCTATACTATCACTGCGTATGTCCACAACAAAAGATGCTGTCTTGTTCACGTCCTAACCACTCGCCGCCAACAGGATGGTCGTCTACCTACAGTATATCTCGGTTGGAGAGATGACAACATACAAGCCGGTCCATGGTGGATTTATCCGACAATGCATCGAGTACGTGGAGCCTGCATTTGGGTTTGCAGTGGGGATCAACTTCTGGTTTTCCGTGAGCCTTCATCTCCACGGACATGACCCTCGATACGCCTAACAATGGATAGTGGGTGATCTGTATCCCCGCTGAGATCACAGCGGCAGTTTCCGTGCTCGAGTTCTGGCCGCAGACCCAGGTCGTCCCCCTTGCAGCATACATCACCATTTTCCTGGTCATTATCGCCTTGGCCAACTCATTCGGGGTTCGGCTCTACGGCCACGTCGAGTATGTCATGTCGTTTGTCAAATGTCTAGCCATCGTGGTCATGATCTTCTTTATGATCATCATGACCTCCGGTGGGATTCCAGCCACGCATGGTGCGATTGAATTCCGCTACTGGCGGAGTCCCGGTGCTCTCAACAATGGCATCAAGGGGATTTCCAAGGCCTTTGTGCAAGCCCTGTTCAGCTTTGGCGGCGGAGAACATATCGCTGTCATTGCCGGCGAGGCACGGGACCCTCGCCGGACCATCAAGAAAACCGTCTATCCGGTCTTTTGGCGCATGTTCGCCTTCTTCGTCGTCAACATCTGGCTCATGGGCATGTGCGTGCCGTATAATGACGAGAACCTGGTCAACGGGAGCGGCACACTCGGAAGTCCCTTTGTCATTGCCATCGAGCGTGCAGGGGTGATGTGGCTGGCTCATATCATCAATGGCTTCATATTTTTGACGGTGATCAGCTGTGGAATCACCAGCACTTATATTGCCAGCCGTAGTCTGACAGCGTTGTCGGACATGAAGATCATCCACGGCGTGTTTGGACGGAAAGACTCTGCCGGGCGACCATATGTATCATTGGCCATCAGCACCGCCATCGGGGGAGGCTTAGCCTACCTGAACTGCAACGATACGGGTGCTGTAGTATACAGTTGGTTTTCGTCATTGGTGCGAAACCCTGCATCTCCGTGGACCTGTTTTCGACTTTTGAAGCTAACATTAACCAGGTGTCCGTCTCAACCCTGTTCCAGTGGTCCAGCATCTTCATCTCGCACATCCAATTCCGACGAGGCCTCGCCGCGCAGGGCATCAGCACCCAGTCACTACCCTTCCGAGCACCTGCAGCCCCCTACCTGCAGTACTTCGCGCTGGTGATTGTTCTCTTCATTGCAGGTTGCGAGTTCTATCTGGCCTGCTTTCCCTTTGGTGAGAAGGGATCCGCCAAGTCCTGGTTTTCCACTTACATTGCTGCGCCGTTGTTCTTCATGGACTATTTTGGTTACAAGGTACGTCAGTCGGCCGCAAACGATACAATGCTGCTGCTGATCCTTTCTAGATTTATTATCGTTCGAAGCTTGTCCAGCCAACTGAGATGGACTTCACGGCGGCTCAGGCTTTCGATGAAGAAGACCGGGCTAGGGCTGCGGTGGGGTATGAGCGGGATCATGAGGAAGGCACAGGCATGATGCAGCAGATCAAGAACTTGATCTTTGGTTAACTTGATTTCAACTGAAGGTTTTTGAATTCAGTGAACTTAGAACACATAGTAGGTGTTAGATAACACATTCCGTGTTAGTGGTGAACCAAATGTATATGGCACATCGGATGCATGAATGAATGAATGAAAATATTTGAATAACTCTGTCCTCCTGTGCGTCGATTGAAGTAAAGTAGACAAGTATGGTCAGCCCACGCCGAGGGAGTAAAAGGGTCTATGGCAGCGTGTTCATGTGCCTTTGCTGGCAGAACCACTCAAGCAGCACCAACCCCTCTCTTTCTCGGCATGTTTCCCGCGAATACACGCCGAGCTAGTAGTCGCCTAAGCAAGGTGCTAAGACCGGGCCTGGTGGCGGGAGTAAGATTAAGGCGGTCTGTGTGGTGGGTGGGAGTTGGGAGACCAGATGGAGCCTTTCAGAGGTTCGCAGGTTCGCCCGAGTCAATCTAGACTAGAGATGAAGATGATTTGATGTTGGAAGTAGGTTTTTTCAACGGTAAACGTAGGCAGGAGAAGAGTCAGGCAGAAAGGCAGCGAGACTCGCTTGCGGCGGCTAATCCAGTTGCGGCGAGTCGGCGAGCGGCAGGGCAGCCATCCAGAGGCCAACGTTTGTTCCGGGACCACAGCAATCAAATCAATCTTGCGCGTATCGCCGATGTGCCCTCACTGCATCTCCCTCCCACTCCTCCTCCTCCAGCTCCTCCCTGGCCACGGGCATCTTAATACTTCTCCTCTCTTGACATACTTACGTACTTACGTACTTTCGTACTTCCCGCTTGCTGATCCGCGCTTTCATTTCCTGTCTGGGTCTCCCTCGTTGTCCTCCCCCTCGCAATCGCCTATAACTTATCCCGACCGCCGGTGCGCGCTTCCTTCCCCTCCCAGTTGACGACTGGTGCGGCCCGGGTCCTTTCCACCCCTCTCCGCCCTGGCTCGCTCTCCGTTTGTCGTTGTCCGTTGTCCGACCCTACCCAATTCTCTCCAACCCTCCAACCCTCCAACCAATTCACCTTGCGCGCCTCTTCTCTCCACATCCCAACTGTCGCGTCTATCAACACATTCCTCCCCAACCGGGCTCTACTTGATTCTCTGCTTTCCTATAACCTTCTTTCTCTGGTCGACTATCGCCCGACGACTTTCCGGTGAGCTTCGTGTGCTCCCTTCCTCTTTCTCCATTTCCTGCCTTCCTGCGCTTGCGGACCCTTTCGCTGACTTTTTACCCCCTCCGGGGATCGTTGCAACAGCATGGTGACTAGCTAGGGAATCCATTCAGAACCCTGAATCTACGCCTTCTCTCCCCCCCCCCTCCACCCCCCTTCCTGTGCTCCGTCGGCGTCAGAGCACAACCTAAGCAACCTACCTCACCATGGCACCGCCGCAACCACTTCGATCGAGTTCCGGTCCCACAATGTCCGAGCCGGCACCCACGACCATCCCTGCACACGCCGCGAATGGCGATGTCCATGCGCCTTCCGACCCTCGCCAACGCTCCCCCTCAGACTCTAAGCCCGTGTCAGTAAATCGCAAAAAGCAGAAACGCAGGCAGAAGCAGGCGGCCCGACTGGCCGCGGAGCGTCAGCTTGACAGCGAACACGGCCCCGAGCAGAACGGATCCAGTCAACCCAACGCAGATGGCCAGCTGTCCGATGAGCATGAATTCGATGAACCTGCTCCGAACGGCGACGCCTACCACGAGGACGACGAGCACGACCAACCACTCGACCGGGCGCAGTCGTATTCTCCCGGGAACTCTGTGAACGGACAAGGCGGGGACGGTCAGCAACCCGCGGCGGCGGCGGCAGCAGCAGCAGCAACAGCAACCCGGAAGTCGAAGAAGAAGAAAGGCAAGAAAAGCCGGGCGGGCTCGCAGGCGCATGGCGACGAAAGTTCCACCCCGCTGTCGACCCCATCGATCTCCATGTCGCATCCTCTCCCCCCGCCGTTACCCCCGCACCTCGGATCGCACACCATCCTAAAGTCGACCAAAGACCGCAGCATCTGGAACACCTCCACGCAGGAAGAACGCGAGAACATCAAGACTTTCTGGCTGGAGTTGGGCGAGGAGGAACGGCGACAGCTGGTCAAGGTGGAGAAGGACGCGGTGCTGAAGAAGATGAAGGAGCAGCAGAAACATTCGTGCAGCTGCACCGTGTGCGGGAGGAAACGGACGGCCATTGAAGAGGAGTTGGAAGTGCTCTACGACGCTTACTACGAGGAGCTGGAACAGTACGCCAACAACAACCAAGGGTCGTTCGAAAAGGGCGCCCCGATGATCCCGCCCCCTCGGCTCTACCACCCTCCTTTACGGTCGCCTGGTCACCATACGCGCACGCAAGGCCAATACCACCCTTCCCGGGGCCGGATCCATGAGTTACCGGAGGATGACGAAGACCTGGAAGAGGAGGAGTACGACGAGGATGACGAGGACGAGGAACCGTACAGCGACGACGAATACGAAGACGAAGAAACCCGTGCGGCTCGCGCAGATTTCTTCGCCTTTGGGAATAGTCTGACTGTTAAAGGTAGGGACAATCACGAGCGCTTGGATCTATCTGGGTTGATGCTGATTTGATTGCGTTTCTTTTTTCTAGACGGAATCCTTACGGTTGCAGACGATCTGCTGAAGAATGATGGGAAGCATTTCATTGACATGATGGAACAACTGGCCGAGCGTCGAATGCAGCGGGAAGAGGACACACAGTATGGCATCGCGGCAGCACATCAAACCCTTCATAGCGGTCACAATCACGGGCCCCTGGATGATGAAGACTATGACGATGAAGAGGATGAAGATTACGATAGTCAGGAAGAAGAAGATTACGAGGAAGATGAAATGGTCTGCTCCGGGCATTGGCTGGGTATTGATGCCGTGAAAGCTGACAGTTGCCTGCAGGATGCGATGACGGAAGAGCAACGCATGGAAGAGGGCCGGCGAATGTTCCAGATATTTGCCGCGCGCATGTTCGAGCAGCGCGTGCTAACGGCCTACCGAGAAAAGGTCGCAGAGCAGCGTCAGCAGAAACTGATTGAAGAGCTGATGGAGGAGGAATCGCGGAATGAGCAACGAAACGCCAAGAAGGCTCGCGAGGCAGAGAAGCGCAAGGAGAGGAAGCGGCTTCAGAAGCTGGCCAAGGAGGAGGAAAAGGCACGCCGAGAGGCCGAGAAGGCGGCGGAGGAGGCGGCGGCTAAGGCGGAGCAGGAGAAGAAGCTCGAGGAACAGCGAAAGAAACGCGAGGAGCAACGAAAGAAGCGCGAGGCGGAGCGGAAGGCCCAGGAAGCGGAACGTGCCCGCAAAGAGGCCGAAAAGCAACGACGACTGCGCGAGGAACGCGAACGACAGGCAGAGGCGGAACGCAAGCAGCGGGAGCAGAAGGAGCAAGAGAAGAAGCGGCGCGAGGAAGCACGGCAAAAGGAACGTGAGGAGCGCGAACTGCGGGAGAAGCTGATCAAGGAGGAACGAGAACGCAAGGTTCGGGAGGAACAACTTCGGAACGTTGCAGCCAGCGAGGCCCAGCACGCCAAACGCACCTCGCATCCCGGGCTGATGCCTCTCTCCGCCAACGTGAACCACCCCCAAGGTCTGGGTCCGGGCCAGTTCCAGTCGCCGCACTTCTCAACGACTGCCCCAGTAGTGCCCCAGGCGCCCACCCCGTCAAGACCCCGGCAGACGTCCCAGCAGGGCTCCCATAGCTCGTCGCCTCGGTCCCAGCCGGCTAGCACCGAACCATCGCAGGTCTCCATCTCTCCTCGTTCGATGGTGCCGTCTCAGTCGTCCGGAGCCTCGAGCGTTACGTCCAAACAGGGCCATGGACAGCAGCCTATGCTTCATCATCCTCAGCCGTCAACACCCTTGTCACCTCTTGGATCTTTAGGTCGATCCCATCCGCCCGGGTTCTCGCCGTCCCATCCGCCTGGCTTGGGCCTGGTCTCTAGAGCTCCTATCGGCCATGAATTACCTACCTACCCGCCACACTCAGGACCGCTTCTCAATCAGCTGCGAGGATTCCCTGCGCCCAATGGAATCCCGATTCCTATTGGGATGAATGGCTCTCGCCCTATCCCCCCTGGACGAGGATTCCCACTGGATCCGGGGCACAGTTTGCCATTCCATAGTCAACAGCCCATGGCCAGTGCATTCTCTGGGCAGGCGAGTGGTTTGTCTCATGCTCACTCCCGACAGCCTTCCAGCTCGTTTGAGCGATCACCTCTTGAAGCGCATGCTCAACCGTCTCCTATCACCCGCCCCAGCCCCATCAAACGCCCTTCCAGCACGCAACAAGACCCGAGCAACCCCCGTCGCAGTCAGCATGATGTGGACGATCTGAGTGCGCAGCTCGGTAGCAGTGCGCTCCTGGACGATACGGACATTCCGTTCGCGTCGCACCTGTCCCAGTCACTTCCCGGGGCAACACTTCCGGGTTCCCTGCCCGGGCCAACTCGCGCTAGCTTTGCGGCCCCGTCACTGTTCCCAGACCCTCTCAGTACGTATGCCAGCGGGTTAATGTGATTCACATATGCTAATTGTTGCCACAGTTGCCAAGCACAGTGCTTTCCCGGCCAGCCCTAGCCTCGGGGGTACGTGGGGGTCACAAATACCTTTCGGCACCTCGCCCTTCCCCGGGGGTCCGACATGGGGAACTGGACCTGGTAGGTCTCCAAGAATGCGTGGCTGTCGTGGGTAGCTGCTGACATGATTACTAGGGAGTGGTTGGTCTAGCAACGCGTTCGGGCCCGCAGTGCATCCTCGAGCGCACACCTCTCGACCTGTGACGATCCGATTGCTGGTGATCCAAGCCTGTAAACAGCTCAACATGATGAGCCCCTCTAAGGGCGGCGGCGGCTACCACGACGTGAATGTCGTCCTGCGGCAAGTGGAGCAGCTTCAATCCCCGACCGAGCCGGCGATCTCGCTGAAGGAGATCCTCGACATCTGCGACACGGAAGGCAACACGCAAAACGGCGGCGGGTCGTTCTCGATCAAGAGCGACGAGACAGGGGAGTATGTCAAATTCGAACCGGACACCAACAGTGCCGCCTCAGGTCACAGGGGTAGCATTGTCCCCGGCGAGATCGGCAGTCCCATCCCCAGCAGCAGTGTCCCGGCCGCCGCCTTCAGCGGGACGGTGCCGGGGACCGGGATTGGGATTGGGACGACCAATAACCCTTCCTCGGTGCTACGGCAATACACCTCCCCTCCGACCGGGTTCTAGGCGTTTTGTTTCTGTCTGTTGTTCGGGAACCTCTTGTCGTGCTGTATGTTGGTGGGCAAGACGAAAGGCGTTTATTGTTGTTTTCGACCCATGTCCGATACTCCGTACTGTACCTCATTTGCATCCTCATCCTCATGATTTCATCATTTCATCACTTGATCACGTAAAGCGTCGTGTTGTTCAATTTGTTTGTTTCCCTGTTGTCCTTCTGTCTTACGCTCCGAGACAAACCTTACCTACCTTTGTTACGATGGACTAAATATCTCCCCCCCCCCCCTATCCCGACCCTGAATTCCTACCCTCACAAACCCTCCCACTGGGGTGACATGCCCCTCTGTCTAATCAGATGAGATCATACCACATCGTTCCTGTCCCTGTAGAACGGGAAGTGATAACCGAGCCGAACCAAACATTAATGATATCCTTGTTCGAGTCGATTAGAATCCATCCATCCATCTCCGATCTAGATTCTGCTCCCGTACGTGTGTGTTGTATGTAGAGATGGTGTGGGATGGGATTAGGCGTTCCGTTTGTGCGGTTGTGGTTGTGGTTGTATGCTTAGCTTGCGTGAGGGAGATGCTGCTGTACTGTGCTGTGCTGTGCTATGCTATTCACACTGTGCTGTCTTGTGCTGTGTACACTGTGTGTAGCGGAGCAGTACTGTACTATGTACACTGTGTGTAGCGGAGCAGAGCGGTGCTGTGCTATGTACACTGTGTGTAGCGGAGCAGAGCGGTGCTATACCATGTGCCATGCCTCTGGGAATCCAGCCTAGCCTACTTTCCAGGCCTTGGCTTGGATGTCACTTATAGATGTAGTATTAGTATCGGGGGGAAAGGTGGATAGGTGAATACGAGGAGGTAGGTATTTCGGTAGGGAAGTAGGCCTACTGTTCAGGTGGGTAAAGATAACTTAACTTGGGCTAAGTTACAGTGAACAAGTACAGTAACCCTTAACTTAGTTAACTTAGTTAACTTACCCATAAGTTACCCCTGCGCTGCTGGCGCAGGGATCAGGGATCCCTCTCCCGCTTGTTTTCCCTGTCCTCCCTTCTCCTGCGGTACGCTGCTCTTGCTGTACCCAACTGTTACTGTTATTGTTATTGTTACTGTTATTGTCACTGTCAAGGGAGGTGGGAGGTGGGGGGCGGGAGGTGCGATGTCCCTTGATGAGTCTCTCTCGGATCTGAGGTTTACGATTGAGAGAAGATATGTACTGTACTTACTTACTGTGCTGTACTGTACAAAAATGATGGACGGGTTTACAGAGTACTGTACATCCCCGCCACCAGGGGACTTTCAATCTACCCCATCACCCAGGGGGAGTTCGATTGACAATAGGTAAGGTAGATACTTTGTTGTTGTTGATGATGTTGATATTGACGGTAATGATGATGATGATACACGCAGATCGAAGAACAAATACCTCAGCCCTCCCCCCCAAGTTTCAACCATAGAAACCAACTCAAAGTACGAGAACGGGAATCTTACAGGCCATGGATAGTCTTGTAGACGGAAGAAGATAGACACAGGATGCTAAGACGACAAGAAAAAGAATTGTATCAGAAAAAGTGGGTGGTTTAAAGTTGAATCAAGGCTTTGAATCAGAATGTGATTAAAATAGACGCGTCTCTCATTCATACAGGTCGTTCAGTCCCCCCTTACTGCCTCGGTTCCGTGACTACGCCTTCGTAATCCCGGGATCGGATGTATTCCAACGTGCGTTGGAAGTGGCGCTTGGGGCCCTCGAGGCTGGGGTTGGGCTCGTCCTTGTCGGTCTGCAGGTTGGAGTGGATGAGCTCGATCAGCCCGTTCAGATATTTGGTGGTCACGGTTTCGTTCTGCTGGTCGAAATAGTACACGTAACGGTTCAGGATCTCGACGAAGAGTTCCACGGACACGGCCGTGTCCATGCAGGCGTCGGCGACGCGGAGGGCCCGCTGCAGGCATTCGAGGACGCGCTTGCCGTCACGGTAGAGCTATCACATTATCAGTTTAGTGGTTTAGTGAGATGGAACAGGAGTCAGCGCAGGCAACGTACGTTCTTCGGGTCTTCCTCGCCCCGTTGCGGGTTCTCCACCACCCACCAGAGATGGCTGGCCAGATAGACGGCGCGACATTGATCGGGCTTCTTGAGCAGCTTGCTGCCGTGGAGCGCCGCCTTGGTGATGAGGGTGTCGTAGTTCTCCTTCGAGAATCCCCGCGTGCCGTGAAGCGCCCCGGCAATGATGCATACGGCCTGGAACTGCGCGCGGGAGTCGCTGATCGAGTCCTCGTAGATCGTAAACGCCTGGGCAAAGAACTCGTAGCTGAACTCTTCGAAGCCCGTCTGATCGGCCACTTCACCGCACATCACAAACAGCCGCAGCGCTAGGTCGGCGCATCCGGGGTTCACGCGTTGGTAGAGGTTGTTAACGCATTGATGCATGAAGCGGTACAGCGCCGAAGACTGTGACTGCCAGTTGTCATCGTAGTGCTCGCGAGCCTTGAGTTTACGCGCCAGGCGTATCGACGAGGTGATTAGGGCTGGTGTGGTGTAGCGGATGCGCTCGTTGCCGTCGAGGTAAGCTTTTCGCGTCGCTTGTAGAAGCTGCAAGATGCATTAGGGCACTGTCGTGAGAAGAGAAAAAACGAGGGACAAACCTTCAACTGGGTATCATTGTCGTCTGCCTTGATCAAATGTACCAATCTCGCAAGCCACCCTTGCTCCTCAATGGTCTCCTCCGTCTCTCCTCGTCGCTGAGACCCAGGGTAGCCCATGGACTGCTGGGTCCCTTCCTTGATCAAGACTCTTAAAGCCTGCAGAACACGGTCGAGGTTCTCTGTGGTGGTGATCGTGGTTCCGTTATTGAGGAGGCTGCGAGCGATCTCGCCCGCGACAGATCGCCGCGTGGGGTAAGACTGGGTGGTCAGAAGTGGGATATAATGAGGCAAGGCCAAGGCCGTGAAGATCGAAACGTAAGAGCGGAGGGGAGCGGTGAGAAGTTGCAGGAGATTTTGTTGCGTAGGAGCGGAGTGCAGGTCGGCGTGATCGGTATAGGCGGCGGTCTCTTTCGCCGCGAAGTCAAGGACCTGGTCGACGTATTCCAAGTGGTCGGGGTAGGTGTTGAGCGCTAGGTTGGCCAGCGACAGAAGAAGCGCCATGGTGTCTTGAATTGGGAGGCCGCGGCTCTTGATCAGGTTGACCACTTGATCATAGAAAATGGCATACAGCTTGACATCGGCAGGGATGGCCTCGGGTGCCTTTGCATCGCCATTCGCTGGTTTCCGCTCGCCTTCCTCCGCCGTTTCGCTGTCCTTCTTGGCCTGCTCGACACCATTCTCCTGGGCTGCCTCTGCGTCGGTCGCTGGCTCCTCCGCCTTCGTCTCTTCGGACACCTTGAGATTCTCGAGCAATTTGGTAACAGCTTCTTCCTCCTTCAGCTTGCGTGCTTCTGGATCTGCGGAAGCCTCTCTCTCGCGGGCAGCATAACTCGACAGGCGGTCCATCAACCCGATCACGATCTTCTTCAAGTCCACATGAGGGTTGAGCCGAGAGATCGCCGAGAGCAAGAGGTCCAAGGTGTGCAGATGGAACTCGTCCGGGAAGACCTTTGTGATGACTTCCAGCAGATACTCCTGCGCCAACACATCCCGACACTGCACGACCTGTTCCAGCAGCGCCTGCAGGATGCCGGACTTGTAGCCCTCAAGATCGACCAGCTGACTGAGGCGCACGACGTTGCTGCCGACCAGCAGCTCCAGCTCGCGGCGCTCCTGCATGCGCTTCTCGCGCTCGCGGGACGGGCCCTGGTGCTGCAGGCGCACCCACAGCTTGTTCATCTCCACGAAATTGGTCAGGACGAAGTTGATCGAGTCCTGCAGGTTGCCCTCGGGCCCGTCCCCTGCGCTCGTCGGCAGGTGATCCCGCGCCTGACCCGACAGGTAGTACCGCAAGAACAGGCCGCGGATAGGGTGCTGCACGCCGCGGCTCATCTCCATCATGTCCTTCATGATCTCCTTGACAGGGGCGTCCTCCACGGACATGTACACCGTCCCGACGGTGATCATGAGGTAGAGTCGCGGGATGATGTTGCCGGCATATTGGACGAGCTCGTACAGGTCGGCCAGGTGGTTGACCGGGTGGTTCTCTTTCAGGTATACGGAGAGGTGTCGCAGGGCGTCGAAGACCGCCATATATAACTCGTAGTATTGCTTGGGGCCCAGACTAGGGGTGCGGAGCTCGGAAACTAATGTAGACCTGTCGATAAACAAGGGAGGTGTAGGACTGAGTTAGCTGGTTTGTTGCTTGTGCGTGTTGCGCGATGCTTTGGTGTTCGCATGTTCAATTGGTCTTCCCATTGCTGCCTGGGGAGGAGGGGAGCTCACCCGCATTTCAGCGCATCCATTAATTTGCCGGGGGTCTCTAGACATTTCCGCATCATCTGCGACTGCTGACGCACCACGCCCAATGCCTCCTCGAGGAGACGAGTCTGGTCTTCGGGGGGTGCTACCGGGGTAGCCATGTTTGTTGCTTTGTGTGGATGGGGAGGCGTGAAGGAAGGAGGGGGGGGATTCGAATTGGTGTTGAGAAAGTCGGAGCGGTAAACACCTGGCCGGAAAGGGGGAGGGGAGTCCGGAGCAAGGGTTTCAATGACGGAGATAGTGGGTTCGTTAGATGCGCGAAGGTGAGCACACGAGATTAGACGGCTCCTGGTCGATAGACAGGAGAATCGAGGGTGGAGATGAGCAAGAAGCCGGGGAAGGTTAATGCGGACATGCGATCAGGACTGGGAGACTGACTGTACCCGGACAGTCAGTAAGTTAAGTCAGTAAATGGTTATGTAAACGAACCGCCCGGCGGGATCGTACGTCACGGGGGCACGAGGCAAGCTAACCGCTCTGGGTTTCTTATCATGATTCGGATCAATCATTCTATACACTCGATTCCACAATTCCCTTCTATTGACCCCAACAGAACTCAAACACTCTATCTACCAGCGCATACATGTACTGCTCCACCCACATCTAACCAGTTGTATGTGACAGAAAGAGCTAAGTACAGTACAGTAGTAATTATCAAGCCACCGCCAAAAACAAATACCCATAGTACCATAAACCATAAAATCATAAAACCATAGAGTCGCAACGCCCCAGATATGCCAATCCTCATGAATAACGATCGTCATGCCAGTCATGACACATAAAAAACGGGACCATATACCATAAATCAACAAGAAAAAGGGAACGCTTGCTTGCCATGTACCGTGTATCGTAGCGATCGCATTGGATCGCACCAGTCATGAAAAAACCATATACTTAGTGAGAGAAGAAGCCAAGAAGGAGAGATCCTTCAGAGATAAATCAGTAGTCAGCCGCCGTGCCGTTCCGAGCGTGCAGAGAGGTGCCGTTCAAGCTTCGGGCGAAGTGCTTGGTAGCAGCCTCGGTGGTGTTGATTGCGCGCTTGGTCGCGTCGGACGGCTCCGCGGTGTTGTTGGGGTTCTGAGGGGCGAGCTTCGCGTCGTCGGGGGTGAGTGCACGTCTCGCGAAGGCGGCCGCATGCTCAGGAGCAAGATCCGCGCGGGCCGGCTGGGTCTCATTGGCGCTGCTGCCGGTGTGCTTGCTGGCTGCTTCGGTGCCGGTGAGTGCGCGCTGGGTCAGAGCCTTGGCGGACAGGTCTTCGTCCTTGTGCTCGGCGTGATGCCCATGCTCATGCTCGGTTCCGTTGTGGTTACCCAAGGAACGGGACAGAGTGTCGTTGCTGCGCTTGGCCACTGTGATGGAATCCTCGCCGCTGGCGGGGGTTTCGGTGACGGTGGTGTTGGCCTGCGCATGGCGACGGTGGTGGTGCTCTGTGCTGTTGAGTCCACGCGCCGCAAACTGGGGCCCGGGGTGGGGGATGCCTGTCACCCGAGGACCGACACTCCAAGAGGAAAGAGAGAACGGCTCCAGAGCTGGGGTGGAGGAAGGATATTCAGTGACGGTCACCGTCACGGGAGGCGAGGGCGTGGCGGTGACTGTCTCGACGGTGGGAGCGGCAGTGCCGGCGACGTCGACAACCTTGTATGGCAGTTCATTTCTGCGAGCAATGGTGTCGTTTGCTTGGGAATGGAAGACCGGGACTGACTGGGCAGTCAGGGAGAGAGCGAGAAGCAAAGCGGCGGTATACATGTTGGTGTGTGATGTGTAGGGTTGATGTTGGGTATGATTGAAGAGGTTGAATAGAGGGAGGAAGAGGCACAAAGACTTTTCTGCTTTGAATATAGAAGACACTGAAATATCTTACACTGGTATCTCAGTGGTGAATTGAACTAGAAGAGAGCTAGAAGCCAAAGCTCGAGGGAACCGATTCATTTATCACTTGGATGGAAACCGTAGAAACACACATCGATCCACCACAGGGGCCCTGGAACTGAAGTTGGTAGCCTAAAAAACATAGAAAATCGAAGAAGAGAAAACAAAAAAAACAAAAAAAGATCCACCAGGACCCAGAGAATTAGATCTTTATTCCATCATAGACGGCACGCCAGGCCCAGTGGGCGGGAGATTAAAGTGCAGGCTGGCGCATCCTCGTTGCTGTCAAAGGAGGCTGGGAAAGTGGGAATGGAGCCCTCACTGCCAGCCCCGTTGGTTTTTGGGCGATTGGCAACTGACCCTGCACCACGCTTAATTTTAGTACGAGTCAGGGAAATCTTGGCAAGGCACATGCAAATCCAGAGGTCGCTCAGAGAGTCAGAGCAGTGTTTGACTACATCACAGCACGAATTGAACAATTCGAAACGCGATATGCGATATGCGATATGCTGGATGCTGTATAGACCTAGAAGGTGAAGAGTGTTTGTTTTTGATGTGGCTGGGCAGCGGGCACACGGGCGGCTGTGGCAGATGACGTTGTTGTTATTCGACAGTTGACGGGCGGTGGGCCGAGGATCTGCCGCTCCAGAACGGCTGCATTGAAGGTTGATCACCTTTTTCTTAACTACACTACCTACACTACAAGCAACAACTCACAGTTACACAATGTTGATCACAAGTCCAGATTCCCCTACCCTACGACTATCACCGCCTCTATCAATCAACTAACAGTCTCCTCGACTATACCGTCTCCCCAGCATGTTCTCTGCGGTGTAGATCCTCATCTCCTACGTCATGAGAAAACCGCGATATTGAGGGATATACTTCGCTTCTCGGGGTGCTGATCAACCGGGTGATGTGGGTGTGTACTGATATTCTATTCTTGACAGAGGCGGTGTCTTGATCAACACTCCCAATCCACCAGGAGGTTCCAATGAAAACACTTGCCATGACCCACACATGATCAGGGACACCATGCACAGTACACAGATAGGTTATCTACCGTACATAGTACATCGGCTACTATGTCACCCTGGTCAAAGGGCACATACCCGCACAACTAGACGAGCAAATTAGCTTGGTTGAGTGGGTCTGGTGGAAGTACAGCTGTACTATTGAGGTAGGGTCTTGAGGTATAGTTGTGTTCTGTTGTTCCATTTATAGCCTGTGCCTATCTTGCGTAATATGCAGTCCAGCTCTGCGGGCATGGATGAACCTTCGTGGCTATGGGGGCTCAAGCCGTGACCGTAGTTGAAGCGCGGCTCGTCGATCCGCCTATAGTCAGCGGTAGGCGAAGAGTTAAACCCCATGCAAGATTCCGTGTCGTTTGCATGCACGCCCGACATGTGCAGAGCTCGGCTCGGCAGGGTCTACGTAATGCGTCCGTCGGGATGAACTGTCCACAAGAGGCGGTGTCGTGTCCTACTCGGATCCGATCTTCGGCTCCTCGTCGGTCGAAGACGAGCCCGTTTGCGCAAGAGGATGGAACTGACTTCGCGCAGTGAAAAGCTAAAACTAGCCTCAAGACAGAACCAGGTCCTCGACTCGGACCAAGCCACATCCCAAGCCCGCGGCAGCCCATCCGGCGCATGCTTGGTTGGGATTCCACGAAAGCGCAGTAACGTGCGTTTCCTCCTCGTAGATCGTGATCATCGCCATGCCGTTGACCAGCTTGCGATCCCCGATCAGGTTGCGCAGCAGGCTGACACTCTCGGCGCGGTATCCGTCGTAGAAGCGACTGACCCCCGTGCCGGTGTCGTGCGGGCCACGCACCCATTCATGCTGGAACCAGTTCTGTTGCCATTGCTTCTCCTTGGAGTGCAGCACCCGCCGAAGCGGGTTGGTGGCTTGCACCGTGCCCCCCACGCAGCCAAACAGGACGCTGGGATGCCAGTAGCTGCACGGCGCCAGCGCCGAGATGGGGCTTGGCAGTCGGGCGACTGCGGTCGAGGTGTAGAACCGCCGGACGGCGAGCAGACGGGCGAAATCGTTCTCGTCACTAGAGAGGAACGATTGCAGCGGCGGGCAGTACGAGAGATGGGTCGAGCCCACCCGCATGCGATTCGTATACACCTGGTCCTTGGGCGGGTCGACGACGGACGTAAGCCTGGTGTCGCCGTCCATGGAGGTAGTGGCTATCAGATGGGGATACGTAGGGTAGGCGGATGAGATGTTGAGAACCCAGGTGGAGTGAAGTGCTTGGTAAAAGTAAGGGGCGGGACTCGAGGACGAGTTCGAGGACGGCGCGATGCTCCAGATTGCGACATACCCGTTGGCACAGCCGACGGCAATATCGCTTGGAGAGAGCCATGTCACGCATGTACAAACAGTCGATGGCGGCTTCGCCTCGAAGATCGTGGAATGTACCTGATCTAGGAAGGGGGGTTCAGTATACCGACAGCCACCAAAAGGACAGGAGCAAAGAACCTACAGAATTCAGCTTTCTTGGTATCCCGGCCGATTTTCACGTCGATGACTCGCACATAACCATCGGTCCAGATGCCCGCCAGAAGCCCCAGGGTCTCGCGCTCGTCCTCGTCGTCTTCGTCTCGAGGACTGCGAGGCATAGGACACCAGGCCAACCGGCGCAAATCGCCCCAATCCGTACACAGCGCCAAGCGCAAATGCGGCCGAAATCCCAGATCGATCTTCCGCGCCAACGTCCCAGACTTTTGAGCCTGGAACGCCCAGATCTGCAGAGCGCAGGGATAGGGCGCCGAGGGCCTGAACGCTGGCGCGGCCTGGTCCTTCAGCGGATCGGGGACCTTGGCCTTCTGGTCCGGTAGAATCGGGGCCACGACCGCCAGATACTGCGTGCGACCCAACTGATTCGGCGCCCAGGCCAGACATTGCACTTTACTCCCGAAGTTCAGCAGCCACCCCTCGCGGACTTTATGGCAGCCCGACCCAGCCTTGGCTTTGCTGGCCCACGCGTCGCCGAAATCGAGCACCTGATGCTGGCCCAGCGTGAACTCCTTCTGGTCATCCACGGGCCCCAGGAGAACGGTATGATCCCCGCGCGAGCGAGCCAGGTACTTGCGGCGCGCAGCCGCCTCCCCGAGCTTCGCCACGCGCTGCCGCAGCCGAAACCGCTCGCGGACCGCGTCGGTGTAGTACCAGTCCCAGCCGCGGGCGCTCTCCAACTTCAGAAGGTCGGGCTCGACCCCAAAGGTCAACCCATAGCCATAGTCGGCGCCGTCCCTCGCCCTCTGCAGCGCATCGCGGGTCGGAAACGTCGAATCCACCCCGCCACCCCACCGCTCGCGCGCGTAGATCATCGCCAACAGATCCCTATTGTCCGTCCCGAACATCACCCGCAGATGCACCGCCTTGCCCACATGTTCGAGGGGGTTGAACGAGCCGCGCGAATGCGTCGCATCGCCGGTCAGCAGCAGACTGCCATCCGGATGTCGTCGCTTAGGTGTTCTAGAGTTGGCGGCGGCGGCGGCGGCGCCAGCACCAGCACCAACACCAACACCAGCAGAGGTACCACCAGCCTTGCGTGACTTCCGACGAAAAGGCCCGCCACCAGCAGTAGCAGTCCTCGCCCCCACATTGCCTCCAGCTTCACTACCATCCTCCTCGTCCTCATCACCATCGACCTCCTCCGCCTCTTCTTCATCCCGGAACTCCTCGTCGTCATCGTCATCATCCTCAGAGTTCCCAGCATCCGGCATCTCAAAGTCCTCATCGGAGGATTTATCGTTCACGGCCGCGAACGCGCGTGTGCTCCTCCCTTTCCCTTTCCCCTTGTTCTTGTTCTTGTTCGTCTGCCTCTGCTCCTGCTTCGGCGACGCCGCTGCTAACGATGCGTCACCTCCACCACTATCGCCCTGTTGGCCCTCTTCCGGGTCGTTGTCGTTATCGTCATCGCTGACTCCGGCGGCCACGAACGGGTCCTCTATATATTTCGTTCTGGCGCCGGAGGTGCGATTGCTTCGGCGGGGATGGGTCATGATTGTGTGGGTGATGGGGGGTCGAGTTCTTCGGTAGAATAGGTAGGTAGGCAGCTAGGTAGGTATGGACTCGTGGTGGTGGTAGTTCTGCGCGGGGGATTTGGTTGTGAGGTTAGGTCAGTTGTCTGCCGAAAGTCCCTTCAGTCGGGTCGTCGCATTGCGGATCTCAGGGCCAAGTCACGGCTCAACTGAGTTTGTGCTTGGGATAGTCGCCGAGTTATGTTATAGCAGATGAGGCCTCATTGCTGTGGGGAGTATGTTAAATTATTTTGGGGTCATGAGTCAAAGCGAAGGCGAGTTTGTGCAATGCAGTGGACGAGAAAATATGCGCCGGATGAATCGCTCGGGGGAGCGCCCGCGCGAGTAATGCTGGTTACCTGATTGGGTTAGAGGTCTTGGCCCGGGGGGGGTGTTTGGGAGGAGCTAAGAGTTCAAGGTTGAGGTATTAACATAGGTACTATCTACCTAGGTATGAGAGTGAGTAGGATGATTTGGGGATTTTGACTGGTATGAAAAGATGTAATGAGAGATGTCTGTACTGTCTGTACCCCGCTATTGCCCGGTAAAAACAAAGAATGACTGGCTCTACACTAATGCACTGGATCGCAATCCGAACTGACAGCTCCGACCTTCTACACCCGAATCGGGGCTGGAACCCCGCCCTGGCCCAGTGACCGCATCACCACCGGGTCGTCCTCCGTCGATAACGATAAGTCCTCCAACTACTGAATCGACCCGGATTACCTGCTTCCACCAAACAATCCTACAAAATCATCCACACCACCGCCATCAACCAGACAACACACTCACACTCACACGCATACAATCACCATGTCTTCCCCGAACCACTCACCCCCCGGCATTCTCCACGAATACGTACGTCCACCCTAACCTCACAAACCCCCCAAGCCCACCCCCCGACCTAACACTATACTACACAAAAAGGCTCCCCACCTCGTCGCCTTCGAATTCAGCTCCCCCACCAACGACCCCAAGCCCAACACCCTCCTCTTCATCGGCGGCCTCACCGACGGCCTGCACACGGTCCCCTACGTCCGCACCCTGGCGCAGACCCTGACACCCAAAAGCACATGGAGCGTCTTCAACCTCCTCCTCAGCAGCTCCTACAGCGGCTTCGGCACGGGCAGCCTCGACACCGACGTCGCCGAGATCGCCCAGTGCATCGAGTTCATCCGCACGCGCCTGCCGCACAAGGCCGCCGGCAAGATCGTCATCATGGGCCACTCGACGGGCAGCCAGGACGTCCTGCACTACCTGCACTCGCAGCAGCCCCGAAACCGGCCGGCGGTCGATGGGGCGATCATGCAGGCGCCCGTCTCGGATCGCGAGGCGCTGCTGGTCAAGATCCAGGAAGCCGACGGCTTCCAGAAAAATGAAGTGCGGGGCGCCTACGAGCAACTCGTGCAGATGGCGCGCACCGGGCCCGCCAACTTCCTCCTGCCCATGGACTTGCTCGCCCGCGTGGGATTGCCCGAGAATACGCCGGTCACGGCGGCGCGGTTCTGGAGCTTGGCCAGTCCCGACAGTCCCCAGCGGCCGAGCGCGGATGATCTGTTCAGTTCGGATCTGGGGGATGAGAGTCTCGCAGCGACGTTCGGGAAGGTGGCGGAGAGGGGTCTTTTGAATGGAAGGCTGATGGTTCTGTTTTCGGAGGCGGACGAGTATCTTCCCCCCTGGGTGGATGTGCCGGGGTTGATGGGGAGGTGGAAGCAGGCCGTGAATGGTGGGGGGCAGAATATCTGGGATAATGAGGGCAGTGCGGCCATTGAGGGGGCGAGCCATAATGTGAGTGACGTTGGGCAGGAGGAGCTGGTGCATCGGGTCAGTCGGTTCTTGGAGAGAGTTGCGAAGCCAACCTAAACGCTGTGGAGAGTTATCTGCACCGATATCTTTTCACTGAGCCAAGAGCCAAGGGGGGTAGAAGTTCTAAAACTGTACATACTAGAAGAGGGCGACAACGGGAATTTTGACGACAAGAATAGACAACGGAGGGTATAGTTAGATGATAGATGGTAAAGAAAAAATGATCAAAGTCGATAGAGTCAACCCCCAAAAAAACAGAGCAGTCGGGAAACAAATGCATCAATCCCCCTTAAAACAGAAGACATCTCTCGAAAAGCATCCAATTAAACCTTCAACCACAGAGTCATCACCCCCTTCAAATACTCGACAATCTCATGCCCGCCCAACTTACTCTCCCCGAACAAACGATCCACGAACGTGATCGGACACTCGGCGACCTTGAAACCCATCGCCTTGGCGCGGACCATCATCTCCATCTGGAAACTGTACCCCTTGGACTGGGTGCTGTGGATGACCTTCTCCAGCACGCTCTTCTTGTACAGGCGGAAGGAGCCCGTCAGGTCGCTGACGCCGGGCATGAGCATGACGTCGGCGATGAGGTTGGCCGTGCGCGAGGTGAACTTGCGGAACAGATCCCAGCCGTAGACGCCCCCCTTGATGTCGCCGCGGGCGGCGTAGCGCGTGCCCGTGACGATGTCCGCGTCCGTCTCGCGCTGGATGTCGATCATCGTCGGGATGAACTTGGGGTGGTGGCTGAAGTCCGCGTCCATGATGATCACGTAGTTGCCCGTGCAGAACTGCAGCCCGTGGATGTACGCCGTCCCCAGCCCCAGCTTGCCCGCCCGCGGCTTCAGGATGATGTGCTCCGCGCCCCAGTGCTGCTGCAGCTGTTTGGCCACCTCCAGGGTGCCGTCCGGGGACCCGTCGTCCACGATGATGACTTCCCAGTTCAGGTTGCTGTTTTTTGGGGGGGGGGGCCGGGTGGTCAGTTTTGTTTCTGAGGACTTGGGGGGTGGAGGGGAACAGGATGTGGGGTGGGAAGGTAGGTAGGTAGGAGAGAAGAGGAGGTTTAAGGGAGGCGAGGCGAGGAAGCTACTCTCCATTGGAGATAACAATGGGAGAAAGATGATTGATGAGAATGGGGGGAATAAACGCACTTCTCGCGAAACGTCCGCTCCAACAACCAACAGATGATAGGGAGGTTCTTCCGCTCATTGTAGGTCGGCAGGATGACCGAGTACTTGTTCGTCGAGGCACCCATGATTCTGTTCTGTGAATGTTGCCAACAAATGATCCGCGAATAGGTCAAGAAATTCAATCCGTGCTCCAAGACACAGAGAATAGATAGATAAGATCAGGAAGGGACAAGGAAAAAGGAGTGAAGGTCAGCAAAGTGCTGGGGAGAGGAGGAGTAAGAGTGAAAGAGTGAAAGCGCGCGGCGCGGGCTGGACTTGGCGACGAGGACGGACGGACGACTACTGACTGGTGCGGGAGATCCGCATTCGCATCCATTCAACGTGGCCAGTCCAGGAGTACTAAGACGACTGACTGTCCAGTTGTTTCACCCCTCGGTTCAACTGGCTAAATTAGCTTGCCGTTCCTGCGGTCGTCGTCGTTTTACATCGCTTACAGCTGCACACCCTCACTTCTGCCCGCAGTTGATTATTCAGTACTTTCAAGAACCAAAAAAAAAAACAATAAAAAATAAGAGCAAGAACTTTAATCCGTGAGATCCGTTAAGGTACATAGAAATACATGGACAATTCGTCTCTCAATGCGCTACAACTCTCAACCTTTACTTATTTCTTCACCTGGTTATACGCGTGATCGTACCGTTGGTCCATCTCCTGGTTGTGTCTCTTGACATCCTCCGATGCGTTGTCTCCCACTGTTCCGTCGATCTCTGCATTGGGCGAATTCTCGCCGTCCGTGATGGTCGGTTTGGCCTTGTTGGATGGTGTGGTCTTGCTGTGACTCTTGTTTTCGACGCCAGTGCCAGTGCCATGACCGGTGTCCTTGCTGCCACTGTTGTTGCTGGACTGCTGGGACTTCTTCGACGAACCACCACCAACGTCTGGGGCGGGCGGGCCTATTGTGACGAAGGCATTAGTTCATTCTATTCCACGTCAAAGTGCTTTGTTTGTTATCCTTAAAGGTAAAGCTACTCACCCGGATGCTCGAGGTCTCGAGTAGGCTCGTTGCGGGAGGTGTTGGGCTGTTCAGCCTGGGTCTCGCCCTCGCCGCCGTAGGAGCTATGAGCGTAGCCGCGCCAGGGCTGGACGGTCTTGGAAGTGGAAGTAAGACGCGATGCCGGTCGAATGAAGGGAGAGTAGCTTGCACGAAGGGATAGTCTGCTGCTGCGAAGTATGGAAGCCATGATGCTGGTCTGAGGTAAGATGACTAGTGACACTAAGGTAAAGAAGGTGAGAACAATAGGTAATGTACAATGTAGAATTGCGTTCGTTCAGATATTGATCCAGAATTTGATTAACTTCAACACCTTAGGGACTGCCCACTTTATTTAGTAGCAGATGGCTTAGTCGCCCCCGGATGATCAAGTGGTGATCGACTTCGAAGGGGAGGTGGGTTGCAGACGATGACGTTTGCATCCGGTCATCTTCCCAAACCCCAACCCGACCATTGCGCAACCACTGTTGCATCGCCCCTAGCTAATTCAAGCACGTAAGGGCGCAAAAGAATTGTGAATGTGAGGTTAATGGCTTGTAGCACAGTCCACGAAGAGGTTGTTTCCGCTTCGCACCCGCCTAAAGCAAATAGTAGATTCAGACCATATTACCAGAACATGTCGAAATGCCAACCAAATTCTCAACGAGAACATACCCACCCTTAAGGAGGGGTCAAAGTAGAAAAAAAGTAATGATGAAGAGGATATCCGGTTCCTGGACATACGCAGGCCTTATAAACAGAGATTGAACGAAAGAGTCTCCTGGCCGCAATGTACGCTGTCCTTCCTTGCACCGTTTGACCCCCCTTCCCAATATAAACGCCCAAAAAAAAGCCTTCGAAACTATCCAGAGCGATGCAGAAGCGGACGGCGATTTGTCGGCCGCATTAGAGTGAAACAAACAACCACCGGGACAAATAAGACCCAGCTGGAATACATAATATGCACGCCATAAGATAACAAAATGTATCGGAACATCCTTCATGCCCAAGGTGAAAATGAGGTAGGTTAACCTTGAGAGACTAATCAAACATTCGTATGCACGTAAAGAGCTGGATAGAAGCGGCCCCCTCAGTTTTAGTGACGCCAACGCCTTCGGTTCCGCAGATAAACAAGAGCTTCGTTATAGGCTGGCAGCCCAGAGATGCCAGATCGGCTATATCAATCGGTCAATGACACGCAGTAGCAAACGCTCTGGTACTCGGCCTTCGCTGTATATGTTTGTGTTGAGCCGGTGACTTGGATCGTTGTTGTGGGAGTAGGCTGTAACTCCTTGACCTGGACAGTCTCCTGGGATATGGGACCGACTGACCCGTCATCAAGCACTTGCATCTGTTGACAATAAGGACTAGGGGCACCGGGGTATTCTCGTTTCTCCTCCATCTTGATCCGGCGGGGATAGTCGGATACTGCATCCCGCTTAGAATTCGTGTTTGTGTTTGAACTGGAACCGGAGCCGGAACTGGAACTGGACCCCGAACCCGAGCTCGAGCCAGAGCCTGAATTCGAGCTCGAGCTACCTCCCGTAGCTTGAACGTAACTCGATGACGTGGCGGTCGCGCTGTATTGGGCATCCTTAGTGGTCTCGTTGATGTACAAGAAGAATTCGATTATGGTACTGTTCCACCAGCAGAACCACGGCTTATCTCCTGCTTTGGCTACATCCTTGCGAACAAGCATGGTAGCCAACAGTTCATCCTCTGACAATGAGCGTTTCGATGACGCGTGCGTTGGGAATGAGTCTTGAGGCACCACGACCAGCTTGTCGAAGGTGGTCCAAAAGTGCAAAGCGGGCCCGAAACTGGCATCGTTGAGATCATATGCCATTGAAAGATTCTGTGTCGGGTTGGAAAGAACCGGTGCTTGAGCTCCATAGCTAAGACTTGACGAGTACGTAGTATCTTCAAACGTGATCGAACGTTGGCCGTCTGTGTCTCCAACAGCGACAGGGATATCTCCCGAATTCATGCAGGACCATGTAACTCGGTAATCCGACTCCGCAACGCAAAATTTGGACTGGTTCTTCGGAGACGCCGGAATAACGTACTGGCCAGTAGGCAGGGCCAGCAAGTTGATCGGAGTAGAGGTAACCGGAGTCGCGTCCATCTTGGGGGTAGCAGTTGACGTGACAATATGCGGGCCGTTGGGCTGCTTGTGTTCCTGATCCGCTGCCTTCTTCGCCCCGAGCACACCGCCAATGACACCTCCAATGCATCCTCCAACAAGCATTACCACCCCCACCAAAACAATCGTCCAGATTGGTAGTCCGCAGCAGGCCTTCTTTTTACCTTTTCTCTTCAATTTCTCTTCGAATGCCATAATTCCGGTCAGCGGGGGCTCTTCCGATTGTGAGTTACTTCGTGCAGTCATCCGGTTTGGTTCCTCCAAAGGCACATTAGTCGATGTAACCTCCGACATGGGTGGACCTGCACGCTCATTGTGGAGGATCTCGTCCGATGTGATGCCAGCATCGTTGACGGACGCAAACGTCCCCTCTACCTTGGGGACGGCATTTTCAGGATAGCGAGAGTAAGGTGGAAGCTGTTCGGTGTGTCCGTCGGGGCCAATTAGATCCCCGACGTCATCATCGGCCCGACCGGGCGGTCGTTGGTAGGCTTGATTGTGGCCGGGAAAGCCAAGGGGGACCATGGAGTTGTCCATCATAGGAGGTTCTATCATCGAATTGTCCAGGGCACTGTCCATGCCTTCCTCCGGAACCACATTTTGGGTGTACATCGCATACGGATGTTGCGGTCCACTGGTATCTTCCAACGGTTGGTCCACGGGGCGTAAAGTTGATGCGGTCGCCACACTTGGAGAGCGACTGACACCGACCTGCGGGTACATCGCATACGGATGGCTGGGACCGGTTGCCCCAGTGTAAGGACTCATGGCCCGAACAGGTATCGAAAAGCGCGACGAGATACTTTGACTGCGAGCTGTGGTGGAAGGTGTAGTAGACGCGACGGAATTGCGATTCGCAAAGTCCACTCCCTTAGGAGGAAGACTTGACCGGTGCGGAGTTTCATCGAACGACACTCGTGCCTCATCCCCAAAAGGGTCCTCCGTCAGATCCGCATCGATGGGAATAGTATTGTAGGTTTTCTGCTGCGATTGTTGCTGTTGAGGTACTGATCCGCGTAAGGTATTGGAGGAATTGGTGGAAGAGGTCGATGGACGTCGAGAAGTGAAGGTAGTGTGTTCAGAGTCAAGGGGTTCGAGTGAGTATTCATCGGAAAAGACATTGGGATTTGAGGAGCGAGCCGAAACTGAGCGACGATGCATTGACTCGACTTCGTTCACCGGGGTAAAGCGTGGCGTGGATCGTTGAGAGGATTGTGAGAAAGAGCGAGAATGGTCGGAAGATAGACGCCCGGACATGGCGATGGACAGCCCTGTCGGGCTACCTATCTGATTTGGTCAACCTCTCAAGAGGAAACCGGGTCAGTCACCTGAATTGACTGAGAACCGGGGAGAATGGGAGGCGCCGAAAAGAGTGACGAGAGGGGGGGGGGGAAGAAAGGAGAGAACGGTCGGCGAAAGAATGATGGGAGGGGGGGAAAGTGCCTAAGGGACTGTCGAGAGGGGACGAGTGAGAGAGATAGTCGAGAAGGCGAAATAAAAACGGAACCGAGATGGAGATGGTAGAAGGTAGTGGATAATGGTGGTTAGGTTGGGAGGGTAGAAGGGAGGGTGGTGGTGTTTGTGGTGTCGGTAGTGAGAGTGGAGGTTGAATGAATGAGAGGGAGGGAATCACTACTAGCCGTTTGAGGAGGAGGAAGAGGGAGGGAGGAGGCCCGGGGAGCGGGCGAGGATGAGGTGAGACTACTAGTAACTAACTTAGTTACTGAGTACTCAGTAGAAGAGGGCGTCTGGGCTGCCTGAGGACTCACTCAAGAAAAGGGCCGTTCCCGACCAGGACTAGCGCGAGCTTTTCCCGGGCGAAACTGAAAAGTCACTCAATGACTGGGAACGAACGAAAGAGATGGCAAAAAAGTGGGTTCTTGGAGACCCAGTCGAGTTCAAGTCAGTCGGTCGACTCGGTTCCCAAGTCGATCTCCGGTCGGGGTTAGGTTAGTCCTGGCTGCAAAAGTTGGAAATTTTACTTGTCCGCAAAGTCGACACAAAATACTTCCTCTAGGATGAAATACTACTGTATCGAGTACGGAGTACAGAGCACAGAGTACTATTTACAGAACAATTAACACCACATAAACCTGATTACGACGATTGCTATTCTCATCCGGGTGGTGGTTCTATTATTATGAATTTCGGAGGTCTCCTGTTTACTCAGGGCTGCTGCGCCTCGCCACCGCAGGTAAAGCATAGGTTACTTACTACGGAGTACGGAGTAGATAAGTGAAGTACTCATAACTACTCGGTACAACAGTATTCGTACACTGCTTTTGCCTGTAACAGGCTAACTGCCAAGTAGCTGCTCGGTATCCAAAACAAGTGGACACTTCAAGTAAGGTACAGAACACCACAGCTCAAAAGACCACTAGTAGTCTCACACTGGTGACGACCGTTAAAATGGCCCTAGGGCGATTGATACTCGAGGTTAGCAAGGTTCGATCGAATCGTTCAGCATCGATGACCGACACATCATGGATTCTCGAAGGCCTTTTAACACGTCTACATGAGGGCAGGTAGAGAATTGAGTCGACCGACGTGAAACATCCCCACTGCAGTGTCGTCAGAGGCGCTTTCGCAAATCAACTGACAGGCACTTTCGATTGCTAGCGATTTGACTTTACAACGGATAAAGATTTTATCTTCTCCCAGATTCCCACACAGTAGACTTCACCCTCTCGTCGAACAGCCCAGTTACATGGAACCGCCAGGGACGAGAGATCCGTCCATCATCCTCTTTGGGCAACAATCGTCCGAACTCGGACGACTTCCATCTGGAACACTGGACGAGGGTACGGAGTAGATTGGAAAAAAAAAAACCACACCCTAATGTGGCTATCAACCAGTGGTTTGGATTGGGTAAGGGGGGGCAAGAAGGCTTTCCCACTCAGCGGCGGCAGCAGCAGCAGCAGCAGCATATGTATGAGTGACTGTCTACTCCGTACTGTAGGTCCGTAGGAGCAGGTTCAGGCTTCCAGCAACAAGGATTGGTTCAAGGTGGAACCGCCAGAACCGTACCTAGCCGATTAGTTCCAAAAGATAGCGCAGTGCCTGGCACC